GGAGACAACCGCGGTACAGCCGCGTGCAGCATTGAGTACCGTGGCCATGCCTGGTTTGTGCATGGGCAGACGGACAAGGTTGGGCCGAAGTTGATATCATTTCATATCAGCAGATTCTTGAGCTGGTTGAGTGAATTCTTCAAAACGCATCGTTTGCCACAGGAGCAGGCCTTCGGCTACTCCATTGGTCCTGGCATAGTACCTGGCTGCGATCCTCTGGTTGGCCGATTCACGAAGGCCACCAGCGAAGGCTCAACAGTTTTCTTCGTCTCATTCCTTCTTCACTTCGCTCCTACTGTCCACTCCTCCTTCTTGCGGGTTTTCCGGCGGTTTTTGGCCGTCTCAAAGCGCGAACAGCAGCTACATGATGATTTTCTTCACATCCTCGAAGCTCTTTGAATCAGCAGAATAACAATGAATTTTATGCAGGGGTGCACAAGGATCGGCCGCAGCGCAGGGTATCACATCTTCACTTGCGCAGGCAAACAGTTCTTTGTGAAAGCCAAGCTCACGAACACGAGCAACGAGGCCCAGTACCTTCTGTGCCTTGGGCAACCCAAACATGATAGCATGGCGCAAGTACTTTTCGGATGTGCTTCAATGCTGAACTAAACCCCTTTTTTCCGTGGCCAGTGCACGCCAAGGAGCCACGTGCAGGGCTTTCGCTACGAGTACGCGGTGTCCAGCAATGAGGAGGCCAGAAAAAGACGACTCCCCCCCGGAAAAAGAAGCTGCCGTGCGAATCGAATCAGTGAAAGCGTGCGGAACACTGGTGGGAAGGGCAAAAGTGAACGGCGTCGACTTGTGTCGGGGTCGTCCTGCATGTTTCTTTGCATGTTCCAGGTGGCTACCGCCATAGAGGAGGGATCGGTCCACTTCCTGTCCGAGCGGCTCTTGATGGAGTTCCTTGAGCAGGATGTCATGTCGAAGATCCGGCACCTGTTTCACATGCTGGACATGAACGACGACGGCACGATCTCGATGACGGAGCTGGTCCTGGCGATCAACGACCCGCTCTTCCGGCGCGGGCTGCGGAGCATCTTCCCGACCTTGGACCCCATCTCCCTGCTCTCCTCCGCCACTTTGATGGACGGGGAGCTGGGCCCCGAGCAGTTCCACGACCTCTGCAAGAAGCACGCGGACAAGGGCCGCCTGGAGTCCTGCATCTACTTCCCCCTGGTGGTCAGCGGGGAGCCCTCGGCCGTAGGGACCTTTCCCAAGGCTGAGAGTCATTTCTCTCTTTTTTTGTACCCAAAGTTTCTCTCCTCTCATGTAGACAGAAGTGTAAGGAAGTTCATATGTCGCCCCCTCCCTCCCTTTCCCCGGTGCCCCCGGAGGCGCTGCCGACCTTCAGCTGCGTCCCGACCAAGTGGATCCAGCCGGAGCACCTGGCGGTTTTTAAAGGGCACTTGGCAAGTTGGAGCCAGCAGCCAAGAAGCTTCGAATGTGATCTCTCCAGCATCAAGTGCCCGGATACCCGGCTGCAATATGACATGCATGATGCAGCATGGAGCTCAGTCGGTTTGCTTCAAGGCTTTTGCTTCTCTGTAGAACGTGGGACGTTCCACGGTGTGCTGCTGCGTGCTGTGCCCAGGCACCTTCGCAGTTGAGCTCTTTCTGCAAGGCACTGCAACCGCGGAAGGCGGCGGTGTCTTGCATGTGGCCCAGCCGCACCTAGACAGTGCCAGACAGTGCCAGCAGGCTCTTTTCAATTGTCCTGGAGACAGAGGCCGTGTGTGTATCGTGGCGTTCTTGGAGTGTACTAGCGAAGCGCGTTCTAATGGCCGAGGTCGGCCATTGCGGAACTGAACATACCAGAGGCGGAGCGAAGGCGTTTGAAGATCCCCGCTGCAGGGCACTACTTCGTTTGGAGCTGCTCGGGAAATTTGGAGTGAAGACGTGTGGTCAGAGTGAGGCAAGGCGAAGCGTAGCAAAGCGAAACGAGCGACAGAGAGAGAGAGAGAGAGACAGAGCGAGCGAGAAGTGAAGCCAAGCAGAAGAAGAAGCAGAAGAGAGGTGTAGAGGAAGGAAGGAAAGAAGCAAGGAAGGGAGGGAGGGAGGAAGGACGGGAGGAAGGAAGAAAGGGGAGGGAAGGGAAGGGAAGGGAAAGGCAGGGAAGGGAAGAAGAAGAAGAAGAAGAAGAAGAAGAAGAAGAGAGAAAGAGAAGGATAGGGAGAGCCAGGGAGATGGAGACGGAGGGAGAGAAATGTCACCACTCCAACCGCGAGACTCGGGCGCGCCCTGGGGCCCGGTTCAGGGGTAATCTGCTCTTCATGCCCTGCAGAAGGGAGGGAGGCAGGTAGAGAGGGCGGTCCTAGCATGTCGAGCTGTTTGGGAGTTTCGGCGACGTTGGGATGAGGTTTCTTGTGGAGGCTGCTAGTGACGTGCGGTAAAGTTGTGAGGTTAATGGCTCCAGTCACGACAGAGTTCCGCAGCAAATGCAACAAAACTTTAGACGTTCTCAGTCTCTACGTCTTAAAGGTTATGTGAGCCAGAGAAGTGCCTCGCCTTGACGCTCCAGAAACGCCCCGCGTGGGAGGGCCTGCGCGTGAAGACTCTTCACGAGGGGCTTTTGCAAAAGCTCCCAGCAGAAGAGGGGACAAGCAAGGTGTGCAGAATACGGATCTAAGAAGGACGAAGTGACAGGAGGAGAGCAGTGCGTTTCAGGAGCAAGAGGAGTGCGAGAAGAGCGACATGACATGAGGCTATCCCTTCTCCATGGTCCGCAACTGGAACTCGGCCGTGGAGCCGCCCCAACCGGCATCCGCCTTGGACCCCGACATCGCCTTCCTCACCGTCGGCGGCTTCGTCTACTTCGCCGCTCGGACCAAAAACCCACTTGGTGCCCACTCTGTTGTTGCCTTGTTGGTTGCGCTGCTGTTGCTACTCACTCCATTCCTTAGCGATGTTCTTCCTTCGTCTTTTGTGCGATCTTGTTGTGTTCCGAGGACAGCCAGTTCCAGCCCGTGCACATCAACGCCGCGATCCCGGACCCAAAGGGCCGGTTGCGCTTCGGGCCCCCCAGGCCCTCGGGCACTGAAAACAGTGAATGTCCTCAGCACACATAGTACACTACTCCCTGAGACCCACCAAGCTGTCCTTGCTCCTGGCAGGCATGTGCCGCACGCCTGGGCTGAGCGGCAGTTGGCACGTCCGCCTCCGAGATTTGCAGTTTGCTTCGTCTTTCAATCCAAGCCTCCTATGGCCGGGCACTTTCCAAACATACTGTAAGGTGGGAGCTTCCAACCCATTACGCTCCAGATGCTTCTGAAACAGGGTGCGTCGGATTATACTTGGCTTCCGTGACTTGATTGAAAGAGAGGAAGGTTGAAGTTTGAAGGTTTGAAGATGTTTGAAGTTTGAAGGTTGCCGCGCTGTGCTTGTGTCTGCTAGGGTTGCGTCTGTGTTGGAAAGTGGCTCAAGCCAAGGCCGCTGGTGCATCATAGCAGCGCTGAACCAGATTGCTCCGCGCCAAGCCAACTTCACTTTTATGCGATTTTTTTGCGACCATGTTGCCACCAAGTCACATGCTCCATGAGATACAGGCCCGTATGGTGGCTTCGCGTACTTGGGCAGAGGACCCACTCTGCGCTTTCGACGCTGTGGTTTTCCCAGGTTGTTACCCGTAGCCTAAAACGTCGCAACGCCGTTGCTTGAAAGGCCTGGCGGACTTCGACCTCTATGACGAGGTGCTGATCTGTTCCCTCTAGACTCTAGACTCTAGGCCTTGGGCGGAGGCTCGCCCATTTTGGCCCCTTTTGTGAAGTAATTTTAACTGAATCTCTGCAAGGCTGCACAAAAGCAGTTAAACAGCAGTTGAATTAGCGGAGCTTCGGCGAAGCCGTCTATCCGCACGTGCCTGGACACCAAACGGGCCCCAGGGAGACCCTAAGCCCTCTCCCATGGAGCAGCGATGAGCAGCGATGAGCAGCGATGAGCAGCGATGAGCAGCGATGAGCAGCGATGAGCAGGGCTCCCCAGGTTGCAGTGTAATCCTGCATTGCAACCTGCATTGCAGGCTTCGCGCTGCAAGGAAGACTGCTATCGGGGTGTTTGATGCACGATATCATGCAAACGTATACAAAAACTGCAACAACAAGACCCCTGGGGGGCATTCGAGTCGAGACTTGGGCGATTCGGTGCCGGAGCCAACCCGTCTCGTGAAAAACGAGTGCTATTCATTGGAGTGTTTTGGGAGAGGTTTTCGTTGCTTTGGTAGCTTCGGCGTGCTTGTGTTTGATTCGTGGGGCGGGGGGGCTCTGTCATCTGCTCTTTGCATCATCTGCCCGCCTTCGGCAGAGATATCACAATTTGCCCGGGTGCGTTTCAGCCAGCAGAGGCAGATCAGGGGCCGCAGTGGAGTCAAATTTCAGTGTTGGTATGGCTGCGCCAAAGCTAAGGCTACGGCTAAGTCTAAGGCGAAGGGGTGCTAAGCCCAGCAGAGCCTCTGAAATGATGGCGATCCATTTTCCCGGAGGTGTCGAACTTTGGCTTTGGCTCGAATTGTTCTTTAACATCCTTTACGTCCGACTCCTGACCAAGGGAGAGCTTGGCATGAAGGAGCAGTTTTAAGCCCTGAAGACCCCAACTCAGCCAACGAAGGCTTCGTCCTCTGCAGCGGCTATCGGGCAGGGCGTCGTAAGACTCTGTGAGAATTGAGATTACACCACTAGTAACACTAGTAGACTCTGTTAGACATTGTCGCTCTCTGAAGGAGGATGCCCAGAGATGCCCAGAGAGCCTCTGGCGGCCTTCGGTTTTAGAAACCATGGCGCGGCGGTTATGGGGAGCACTCTGACGGGTTGCAGAACAAAATGAGAAAGGTCCCTGTGTGCAGGAGGCGCCTGGCTTATCGAGATTTGAGACCGGATCCCATGCCCCCAGCAGGGCTGCTGAAAGGCGATCGAATGCCCTGAAATCACCCTCACGTGATCCTCTCTGTAGACTCCACACTCCGAAGTCCTGACAGTGTTTTTGGGTTTCTCGATGGGTGCCTCGAGGAGACTTCCGCTTCTGCAGAAGATGGCGGCCAACGCCCGGAGCCAGGGCAAACCTGTTCAGCTTTTCAAAATCCGACTTTGCCTCAAGAAGCCGAAGCTCCAAAAGACCCCTCTCCCAGGACCCCTCAACTCCTCTAAAGCCCCCCAAACCTCCCTGAAAGTGGCCTCCACAAAAGGTTGCCCCCCCCTCGACTTGAAGCCCCAAGGCCGCCTCAGAGGCCGCGGAGGCGAACTCTGCGGCCGCCGGCGCGCGTCTTGTGAAGAGAATGGTTATTTGTAGTAATGTGCAGAGATGTATCTGGAGGAGTTTCTGGGTCGGTTGTTTTTTTTGTCCCCTCCCAAGGCGCGAAGAGGCTGTGTGACAAGCCGTGGGCCCAGAGTCCAGAGTCCTTCCGCTAGCCTTCTTGAAAGAAAAAGAGCGAGATGGTTTGGATGTGCGTTGAGTGGAGTCTCCAGGGCCATCAAGAACGCCTCATCGGGGCCTCTCAAGGAGGCGCAGCTGCGAGGGGGGAGAAGAGGTCTGTCATTCTTTCCCACAGTCTGCGTAAAGGCCAGAGTCAGTGCAAGGAGCAGCAGAAGCTCTCACAGAGCTTTTCCTTTTTTTGAGAGGCCGAAGAGCAGGGCAAGGACCTGGTCACCGAGCCACTCATGGCCTCCCTGGAGGCAGAGGGGACGAGCCCCCCGCCACCTTTTCTTGCCCCCCCCCACCCTTTCTCTCCCTCTTTGTCACTCCCCTCTCTTTCTCCTCTCTCTCTCTCTCTGTCTTTCTCTCCCTCCTGTCTTGTTCTCCCAAGCCTTTCTCTCTGCAGTTCTTCTTGTTGGGGGGGCCTCTCTCACGGTCCCCCGCTGCGAGGCCGTCCGTGGTCCCCGTGCGATCGTGACGCCCTGGTCGCGCGGGACGCCAAAGCTCTGCAGCCACCCACTTTGCCACTTTGCCACTTTGGCACTTTGGCACTTTGCCACTTTGCCACTTTGGCACTTTGGCACTTTGCCACTTTACCACTTTGCCACTTTGCCACTTTGCCACTTTGCCACTTGCCACTTTGCCACTTTGCCACTTTGCCACTTTGCCACTTTGCTACTTTGCCCTCGCTTTCTCTTCCTTGCCGCCTCGGAGCCGAGGCCATGCAGCGCACCCGCCCGGCCTCTATTGCCAGAAGGCGCCGTTCGGAAAGTTGGAACGGAAAGGGGGTCAGCCACTGCTGCCGTGGTCAACTTTCCCCTCGTTACCGACTTCCCGTGACTCTGAGAGAGTTTGCGCCGAGGTGTGTGAGAACCGCCCAGAGCCCGACGAGCACTTCTTGTCCTGAAGCGTGCTTGGTAAAAGCTGAGTGCGCAGGATTGTGCAGGGGCATATAGCTGCGCCTCCGGCGGGCGAGAAAATAGCAAAGAGCCGTGGGGCGGTCACGTGGCTGTGGTCTGTCTGTGTGCTGAGAATCGCTGAAACTGAAGTCTTGTGATCTACGTCGACTTGCGCGCCCTCCTAACGCCGGTAGAACAGAGATCACACGTCATCCGACGGTCCCAGTACAGACTTGGTGCCCTCCCAATTCGGGGCAATTCTGGAGCGAAAGCATACCCAAAATTGTTCTGATGAATCCATCAAGGCAAGATTGTGAGACGACGTGGGAAGCACGCCTTTTTATGATCCGAGAGAGAGGTGTCAAGTCTGGGAAGAGAGAGTTGCGGATTGGGGACACTAAAGACAACACATGGCAGCACATGACATGGCAACACGCGGTCGCGTTTCAATGCGACGTTGAGTGGCGTTGGTCAGCATGGAGGCAGCTGCGTCCTCAGCCCTTCAAGCCCTTCGCTTCCGCTTTGCCTGTGGATGTTTCGTACATGTTCGGAACGAGGGGACGCTGCCCGTTATGAACGTTATGCGCGTTGTGCGCGTTGGGCACGTTCCGCTCAGAGGATGCCTGGCTCCTGCGCCACCTGCCCAGGCCTCAGATTCCCGGCCTCGGCAACAACCAAAAAGGGACATCGTCGTGATGTTGTTTCCGTTTTTCTTCCATGTGTTTTGTTAAGCTCGTGAAGCGGGAAGACCCAGAGAGAGGGAGAGGCGCGCAGGGAGTGGCGCCGAGGTGGCCGGAGGTGGCGCCGCTGACCTTGGGCGCGGGGGCGCTGGCCGTGGCGAGCGTGGGGCCCGGGCGCCCGACAAAGCCTGGGGCATCGTGGAACATGCAGCAATGCAGAATTATGCAGATTTCAGAACTTCAGAAAACATTTCAGAATGCAGAGAGAGAAAGAATACGCCTACGCAGCGAGCCGAGGCTTTGTGAACTTCCGGACTGGTGCCCAGCTGAAGAATGCCATCGAGACCGATGGGGAAGGCTGCCAAACATAGCCTGCAGAAGTGGGCCCCCGCGGAATTTCTTCAGGGAAGGGGGAACCTCTTAGCTGCCTTAGCTGCACTCTCCAGATTCTATTCTTGGGAGGCCGCCGGTCGGTGCTGCACAGCCTGTTGCTCTTCGGCCTCGGCGCGGTCGCAGGACGCGATGAATCGCGATGCCAGCGTGCGAGACGTGCGAGATACAGAAGCACGACAGGCTGTGTACGGACCGTGACTTTCGACAGCGCCTCCGAACGCCTCCGCGCCTCGATGGCTGCGGAGGCCCCCATTGTTTTGGTGGGGAGCCTCCAAGACAGGGCAGCGAAGGCAGAGAAAAGAGCGCCCGGAGTCCACTTCAGTACCTCCCAAGATGCAGGGCGGTAGCAGCAGGTCGCATGTCTCAGTGCACACTTAGCATGCTTCAGCCCAAGCCATACCGCAGGTCTTTGCCGCGAAGCTCCTGGAAGAGGCCCAAGGGAAGGCCCGGAGAATGAGAGAGAGAGAGAGAGAGCGCCTGTATGAAGCTGTTTTTGGAAACCTTGCGCCTCACGGCGCGTCATGCCAGAGCTTTAGAAGTGGCTGCGCTGCGTCAGGGTCTCGCAATGTCTCGCATGTACTTCTTTCCAGTACAGTCGCCTGCTTGTGCAGCGGAGCAGTAGGGGGACGACCCGCTCCTAAACAGGCATCCCTCTTAGGGCTGCGGTGGCCCTCGAGCAGCTCCAAAAGGCTGCCCTCAAAGGATGCCCTTAAAGGCGCCCAGCTCCTGGGAGCGGTGAAAAAGTACTCTGCAGCAGGCGCACGAAACAAGCGAGACTCTGTCCGTGTGGCAAACCTGAAATGTGCAAGGGGGGGTGTGTTTATGGAAGTCTGCCCTCCCGAGTCTCCGAGTGTGCTCTTCCCGCCGCCACTCACCAGGAACCCCACGCAATGCATCACGATGCCCCGACATCCGGATCATCAGTTTTTCGAATCATCAGTTTTTCGTGGGCTTCTTGGGAGGCGGACAGCGCTTCCGTGGCCTCGATGGACAGTGACGTGGCTCTCTGCCACGGCCTTGGGGCATTTCTTTTGCTTTGCTGCACAACAAAAAGCAGAGCTACTTAACAGCAGGGCAGAGCACGGCAAAGGCGCAGATTTCATATTGAAGCTGCAGAACTTGGCAGGCGACTCAGCTTTCCGGGTTTGGCACAGTTCACACGCCGGTGACAATGCCGTGCCTCTAAATTACATCGATTCTGAGGGCTCTCGTTCTCTGATCTTTGTTGTGATCTGCTCTCCCTGAGGTCCGCTACACGTGACTTGGCTGGAGGACAGGGGGACCCTTAAGGGGGCTTTATCAATTGGGCTATATTGCGCTCATAGAAGCTTACAATTCTGTGGGGCGTAGGGTTCGTGTCGAGGAGAGTCTGAGGTCGTCGATCGTTGGCGGAACCGTGACGATGTTCCGCGCGTCCTGGAAGCTGAGCGCCGCCGCCGCGTCCTCTGTGAGACGATGGTGCTAGGGGGCAGCTCAGGGCGGCACTGCAGCCGGGTGAGCTTGAATTGAAGCGTGTGGTGATATGCGAAACCTTGCGAAGCCCGAAGATCTCCCCAGGCATCTCCGAAGCCTTGAACAAATCGAAGTGAAGGAGCTGGGGGCTGGGAGTGCAATTTTCGGGTAAACCTTAACCCAGGTGTGGCCGCTTCTCGTCACGGGCGCTCTGCACGGTGCCAGGGTCGGGCGCCCGCTTGTCCCGGTTCCAAGAAGTCCGCAATGCCACCGTGAACCCTCCGCAAGCATCCCCCAAAGCTTCCTCAATCCACCCCCCTCGCCGGTTCTCCCGCTTCCCTCCCACCAAAAAAAGCCCAGAGAGGCCGGCGCCAAGCGCTCGGCGAAGTCGGCGCAGGCGCTGGCTTCGACCTTAGTCTTGCACACGCTCTTGGCAGCCCATGCGATGTTATGTTGCTTTCTATCTACCCACTACACATCTACACGCATCTGTTGGATTTTTTGGGTTGTGGAGATGTTTAGAGAGGCTGAAGTGCCGTGCCCCGCCCCCCCCGAGGCGGAGAAGCGGGAGGAGGCCCTGGCTTTCGCGGAGGAGAGCCCATCGAAAGCACTCCCAGACTTGGAGTCACTCCACTCACTCGCCTCGCTCGACTTCCCCCCCCCCCCCCGGCCCCTTCCCAAAAGTCCAAGCAACACAGGCCCTGCCTGAGTGAGAAAGCCCAAATCTCTCTCTCTCTCTCTCTCCCGTGTAAGGCTCTCGGCCTCCGCTTGGGGCAGTCAGAGCCACTTTTCTGGCATCTTGTTGTACTTAGGCCTCTGTCAAGCTTTTCTCTGTGAATGGTTTCGGTTTGACGGGGTCAGTTTTTGTCCTTGATCTTCCGCTTGGGCCAGGCACTTCGGGATCTGCCTGGCTTTGTTACTTTGTTACTTTGTTTGTTTCGCACCGAAGTTGTTTTGCAAGCACCATCCTTCTGGCTTCTGGCTTCCGGGCTCTCTGCAGCTTTTCTTGCCGGCACCAGAGTCCTGGCGGCCTGGTGTGAGCAAGAGAGGAGCGCCTGCAGCACGTGGACCTTGTCCGCTGGTTCTGTCGGGCCGGGCGCTCAGGGTTTGAGAGCTGTTGCTGGGGAAGGTCAATCTAAGTGGTCCTTTCCATTCCTTTCTTGCGAAGAGGCGGAGGCGGAGGCCAAAGCGCCGGGGCACTTGGCACGGGGTGTCGCATTACGCCAGCGCATGAGAACACGAATGAGTCTGAGTTACTACGAGGAAGCAAAGAAACAGCTGCGTCCTAATGCCCATCAAGCAATGTATGTGAGTGCATTTTGTATATGGCCTGTTCTCATACTTCTGGTCCCTTCTTTTTTGCATCCAGGGACCTGAACCATCTGAGTATAGTCGTGCAAGCAACACTGAAATGACAGCAATACTGCGCACACATATCCCGCATGTCAGAATGTCTTGCTACGTGCAAGTATGGAGGGGGGGAAGCACGAGAGCACGTGCGCTTTCTTTCCGAATCGAGGTTCCGCCGCCTCTGCGACGCTTCCGTCGAGATCGCCTCTCGGTCGGCACGGGTCCGCGGCGTTTCGCACCTGGCCGCTCGGCTACCGAGACACCATCACGGGTCCACTTGCAGGGTCCCACTTGATCCATACCGGAGCCTTGCCTCGCTACTAAGCTGCTAAGAAGGTGCTGGACTGGGCAGCGAAATCGGTGCTGCTTGGCCTGGCCTCTCTCGGCTCGCAGCTGGTGGCCCGCAGGGGTCTCAACCCCTGCCATGACCCCTCCCATGCGGTGCAACAAACGCCCTGTGACGTCCATTCTTTGATGTACGATTCCGTGAGGCGGGGAGCTTACTGCCGGAGAGCTGACCTCCTACTTCTTCCATGCCTCCTTCTTGGGTGCAGCCCCTAAGCAATTCAAGGAATTCTCCCCTTGATCGTTTTGCGTTTTCTCACCATTTGTTGAGGCCTTGGGCTCTATGGCCTTGTGGGTCTGATGCCAGAGGTTGGGGGGGCCGCCTTTCCAGAATGAGCGTTGCAGGGAGTGTACACACGGAGTGAAGTGAAAGGCGCAAGTGTACACGCCAGAGTGTACACGCAGAGTGTAAGTAGAGTGTACACGCACCGCAGGAGCCACATCACCTGTCCAGGTGGCCGTGGCTCGTACAGCTGCTGCCAGACTTGCTGCCACGGTCACAAGGAGAAAGGAGGCCAACCAGGCCGGCACCGCTCCAGCTAACGCCAGCAGGCGGTAAAGAGCTTTGGCAGGTGCCCGCGGCGCCTTTCTTCAAGAAGCCGCTGAAGCCGCTGTCCCTCTCATTTCAAGATGTCCACTTCAGGCGCGCAGAAGGATGGTACGTGTGCCACGATGTCCTACTTCTGTACCATGCTTGCTGGCTTCTGCTTTGTGTATCTTTATGTGTTTTCATGTATCTTGGTATTTTGTCCTGAAATCAAACCCAGCAACTGTGCATTGATGAGATTGCCAAGACGGAGCTTCGGGGAGGGCTTGAGGCCACGGAGGAGGGCTGCTCCATGGGGCATCCAGATTTTCAGATTGTGTAAGTCGATCGGTTGCTGGCTTGACCTTGTTTTTGCCACGCAACGCAGGTGCAAAACGTGAGCTGTGCTAGTTGCACTTTGGTGACTCGTATGCCTTTGCAGGTACTCTGAGGCTGAGGTCCTGCGCGGCTTCTCGCTGACGCTGGCAGCTGGGGAGTCCGAACCCCGACAACTGAAGCCTGGATGTTGTCTACGACGTTGAACGAGCAAAGGACCTGCGCCCTGGTCGGCCACTCCGGGTGTGGGAAGTGGGCGCCCCGGACAAAGTCGGAAAGGGGTGATTGCCAGAAATGCCAGGGTTTGCATAGTTGTGCCAAGTTTGACAGGTGCTTCGTCAAACATCATAGTTGACATAACTCGTTTAACAGCGCCTTCAAACCAAGGCTGACATGTAACTCGTTTCTGAGTCGGTCTTGATGCTTCGTGCACTGTTGGTGCAAGATTGCAGTGCGACGTGTGTGGGCTCGAGGACGTCCGCGCTCCGGCTGCTCCTGCGAGATTTCGATGCAACCTCCGGGAAGATCTGTGTAGGCAGCCCATCCAGAATCCCCCCCCCCCCCCCCCCATGTCATATTTGTGAGGCACGTCCTCGGCCGCAGGTGACCAGGCCATCCAGACCCTGGCCACCGAAGAGGTCCGCACACTGATCTCTGCCCTCCCGGCCCAGCTTTGTGGAGGGCCTTCCTACACCATATAGGAACCCAAAGAAAGCCCTTCGGCCCGGACAACACCCACTCACGCGGGGCCCCTATGAGAACATGCCAGGTGGCGCCACAGGCGCCGGCGCTTCTGGGCGCCAGTGTGGCTGACGCCATCGCGCCCCGGACTTGGGAGAATGGGGAAGATGGGGGTCACAGTGGTTTGTGGGTTCTGAAGGAGGGTTTGTGAGGTTTCTGGAGTTTGAAAGGGGTTTAGTGGGTTGAGATGCAGTTCCCGCACAAGGTTTCCCCACAAAGGTCCCCCCCCCCACACTCTCAGGTTTGGAGCTGTGGAGCCAAGCACCGAGCAAATCGAGGCGGCTTTCTGTGCTTTTCGGCCATGAAGAGAGGTCTGTGATACGGCCCAACATCAGGATCCCAACTCACTGGCAGCTTCGATTCTGACGATTGCTGTTGGCTTTGCTTTCTGCACAGGGGGCTGCGAAAGCTGCGTCCGCCCACAGCTTCGTGAAGTCCAGGACAGCCCCACCTGTCTGTCATACGAGTAGCAGGGGCCAAGCTTTTTGTGGTACTTGGGCAGCTCCCCATGTCGGGACGGGATCGGATCCTTGCGCACAGGCCCCAAGGCTACGAGACGCCGGTTGGGAGAGGAGGAGAGCTGCTGTGCGGCTCACATTCTGAGCGAGCTTTGAGCTTCTCCTTTCTGGGGAGCAGCTTCCACCCACGCAGAGGTCTGGCGGTGAGCGGCAGCGACTGGCCCTAGCGAGTGCCCTCGGCTTTGTGTTCAGCGCGATGCGCTCAGCAGTCTCTTGAACGGTGAAGCATGGTGAAGCATGGTGTGCTACGGCAGGGGCGCTGATTCGGGAATCCCCGATCCTGTTGTTGGATGAGCCTACGTCTCGGCCTCGGATTGGCCAGGTGTGGTAGGGTGCAGCCAGGTCAGAAAGGTTTCGTTGGACTGTTTTCACGCATGCTCTGCGTGTCACCCTTGTAGACAGACAATTGCTAACAGGTGTTGTAGAAAGGGCAACTTGGAGGCGTGCACAAGTGCAACTTGCCGAAGAGCATGTGGGAGCTCTGCAAGTGCTCTCCAGGTCTGGGTTGGATGCGACCACCGCCGCAGCACTGGCGCAGGACACACACTCACGCTTTCGGACTGCACCCGCTCCAGGGGAGTTCAGGGTTCAGGGAGCTGCAGTGGGAGGTTTGACGTTTCGCCCTCTCCACTTTGTGAAGAGGCCGTGCTGAGTCAGCGCCCTGGCCGGCCCACGACGCTGGTCGCAACGCACAGCCTTGCCCTGATCCGGACGCCGGGGGTGAAACCGGGGGTGAAACTTGCACCCGCAGACTACGAGCCTTCAATGGGGAGCCTTCAACAGAGAACACTGCTTCGACGACTCCATCCTTCCCCTGCAGAGGAACTGCGACACTGTGGCCGTGGTCTCCGGCGGGCGCGTGGAGCAGAGAGGCCGCGGACCTCGGCGACGAGGGGGCGCAGTCATTGTGCAACATGTGCAACGCACTGATAGTCCAAGGCAAGTTCTCGGACCTCATCTCCGATTCAGCCGGACACCTTGCGCAGATCATGAGGCGGCCTGGAAGAGTCCCCACAATTCAGGGGGGGGCGTTTTTTTTTTTTTCCACTCGCAGGTCCGGGGAGCTTGAGGAGACCTGAGGCTCTGAGGCTCGAAGAAGGCGAAAGGGCAAAGGGCAGCGACAGCTCTCTGCTGCAAAAGGGGGCGAGACACTTGGCCAGGCCAGAACTTGCATGTGCTTGGTTACTCTGAGGAGGTAAAGCAGAATCTTGCAAGATTGTTCTGGCTTCTATATGACTCTTCTGACACTCCGTCATACTTGCTATGCTCAAAGCTGAAAGTATAAAGACATGTCAAGACATGTAGAGGCTAAAGACACGTCAAGAATCTTTTCTGAGCCCTTTCCTCAGGACGCTCAGTTCAGCACAACTCACCCCACGTCCCGTCGGTGTGACTTAGATGTGGCTGGGGAAGCCATGGACTTCAATTCTCTTCGGCCTGCGCGGCCGCCGCTGCAGCTTTTGCTGCTTCTGCTTCCTTGCGCTCTGGTGCAGCGTTTTTTGTGCCTTCATGCTCAGCGACACACTGCTCAGCTTCCACAGGCACCTGGCATCTCTCGAAACATGGGTGTAATGCCGTATATCTGCACGAATGTACAGTGTAGTACAGTACAGAGCATCTCCATACACCCTCAGCTTCACTTCACTCCAGTTCCCTTCCCGGTCATTTCATCTCAGGGGTGGCATCTGGCGGGCGTACTTTATGCCCACGCCGGAGATGTGGGACTCCATCCATCGTCACGGGGATAGCTCCTCCGGTGGAATTTGGCATTACGACAAGGTCAAAATGGAGGCCAACCATGCCGTCAGATACTTGATGGAGAAAACGTACGGCACTCTGCTGGACGTCTCCTGCAACGTCGGCTTCACCTTGGCCAACTTGCTGCGGCGCCACCCAAGAGCCCGACACTTTGGGACGGACATCAGCAGAGTCATGGTGGATGCCACGAAGAGGAACTGCCCTGGCTGCTGGGCCACGCAGTTTGACCTCGGCCGTCTCCAGAACACGAGGAGCCCGAGACATCTGCTCCGGAGTGCCTGGCAGCTTGAGGGGCCCAAGGAGCAGCTTGAGGAGCTTGAGGTGCCAGAGACCTTCGACGTGATCCTGGTTTCCGACGTGCCCTCGTCTCCAATAAAAGGAAGTGTAAGGCTGTAAGGCTGTAAAGGCAACCTGGGTTAGCCTTCAGGGTGTTCGAGTCCACGGCAATGGGTCCGAGAAAATGCCATGCTCAATGCTCGCCCCAGTCTCCCAAGCGGCCTGTAGCGTCCGGCCGAGAAGATGTTCCTGGAATTCTCAGCCTAAATCACCCTTTCACCACGTCCCATCCTTCATGTCCCTGGCACTGCCCCTTCTCAAGACTTCAGGTGTTGATCTACATCAGCTGGGCTGGCATACCACCGTTCTTTCTACGGTGTCACTGCTGTTGCTCAGTCTTCCGCAGCTGGGCACTTTCTTCTCAGAGAGCTTTCATGCAGAACATTGCGAGCCTGGCAAAGGACGAGGTCGTCTTCTCGCAGCACCAGAACAACATCGTGGTGACCACCATGATGAGGGAGCTGAAGGTCCGCTTCGATGAAGACCGCGGTGTCTGGAGACTTCCTGGCACAGCCAAGGCAGCCAATCACACCGTCGCATGACAGGCTGAGCACCTGACCGAACCAACCGACCAAAAGAAAGAGCAAGGGAGCCTCCGTGACCTGAATCATCCTGAATCCCAAGATTCGGAAGATGCCCCAACACGAACATCTCGCTCCCGGCTCCGCGCCTTCCGTGTCGCTCTCGCCAAACGGACCTCGGCGGGATCTTGGTTTGTGCTCGCTGAGAGCATCGAAAAGAAGCACTGCAAGGGGCCAGCTTTACTACCGTGTAGTTAGTATAGTGACAGGGAGCTGGAGAGGTTTCCACGTCCTCCTCAGCCGAATTCAGATCTTTTTCTTCTTGCCTCCGCACCGGCAGTCCTGAGATCAAGAGCGGCTTGCCGATCATGGTACATCATGGTACATCATTGTGTTTGTTGCATTCTCTGCTCTCTCCACTCGTTGCCACATGTTTTGAATATCTGGGTTTGGCTAGATGAGGGATGCCGTAGCTGCGGTGTTTAACCGTCTAACCATTGTTAGTACGAAGCTTAGCAAGCAGTTTGTCCGAGCCAACTTACGCTTTCTTGGTGAATGAAGCTTTCCTCACCATGGGGCCTTCTGACTGCCTGGCTTTGGGCTTCCGGCCACGCCAAAGACTGGAGCAGTTGTCGGCAGTGGAAGGAGGCCCGGGATGGAATGTGGCTTACGTTGCTTACTTTGCAGGCCGGAGAGGCGCCACCGGATCAGGGTTTCGCCGGCTTCGACCACATCGCTTTCACCGATGCGGTTGCCAGCTGTCCACCCGCCGCCATCACGGCTCTGGCCTTCCAGCTCGTGTCAGATGTCCAAGATGGGAGCGTCAGCGAAGAGGGGCTGCTTCATCTGGAGGAGCTTCTGAGGCATGCTCTCGAACAAGGCATCACGTCGATGGTCTGCTCAGGCTTCCCCATCTTCGGTGCTCTGGACTGGCTCGCGGATGTCATCGCGGGCTCGGGCTCAGACGGCTTAGATGGCTTGTCCGACAGGGGCTCCGAGCGGGGGTGTGTTGGGGTCCATGCAGACCGATTCCGTGCAGTGCTGCACCACCACACGGCAGAGGCGACGGGGCAAAGGCGGGGAATGCGAGTTAGCGCCTTGCAAGCAGTTGTCAAGATCTATTAGTCTATTGGTTCATGCGCTGCCCAGATTCACGTTGTGCAGCTGCGGGTTTTACGGCGTACAGAGTTTGGTTTGAGGGCCTCTAGGGTTTAAACCAGATGAGCACTTCCAGAATTCTGGAAGGCCCATGCCACTGCCGACCCTGGCGGCCCTGGACGTCCTGCAGGCGACGCGCGGGCAGCGCGGCTGCGCCGCGGCGCGCGGCGCCGCGACGCTGGGCCTGGCCCTGGCCCAGGCGCGGCTCCTGCAGCAGGAGAAGCCAAGAGAAGACGATGTTGACAACGTCTACGAGGGCTGCCAGGGCTTGGCCGAGGTCTCAGGCCTGGCGCGACTGCTGGCGAAGGCGGAAAACCTGCTTTTGGCACAGCAAAGCTCGGTGGCGCTGGCGCTGATGAGCCGGAGATGGCTCCCGGCTCGGCTTTTGCACGAGCTCAGTCGGCTGGCTGTCCGAACCTGGCAGGGCCAGGAGAGCACAAAGGAGAGCGCAAAGGCGAGCGCAAAGGAGGTCTTCAAGAAGGAGCCCTCCACGGAGCCCTTGGAGGATTGCCTGGTGTTGATCTACACGTTTCCAACGGAGGAGATCCGCGGCGACGTGCGGAAGGCCTTGAGGTCCCTGCAAGAGCATTACGTGGACCACCTGGGCAGCGAGCCCCGACTGGTGGTCTTTGTGGACGCTGAAAGCGAGCGTCTGCTGGACCGGGATGTGCGGCCCTTCACAAGCTTGCAGATCACGCCGGCTGTGATCCCTTTCGAGGAGCTGGAGCGCCCGATGCAGTCCTACAGCTGCGAGCGGGGCGAAGACTGTGTCTCTGGAGATGCCGAGTTGGAGCTCCAGATGGCGGCTCACCGCGGCAAGGTGAACGAGACGCAGTACTGGTCCCCGACCTACCTGCGCATCTCACGCTACACGGCGGGCCCACTCTTCCAGCATCCCGCTCTGGACTCTTGCAGGTACTTCCTCAAGATCGACACGGACTTCTTCTTCACACAGCCTCTCAAAGAGGACCCGCTGCGATACATGAAGAACTCTGGCCTGCGCCTGGGCTACTGGCAGATCCACGTGCAGGGCCAGCGCCAGCAAGGCTACATGGATGCGGCGCTTTCTTTTCTGAAGGACTGAGAGGGAGCTCAAGTGGGAAGTGGGGGGGGGGGATCTGCTGTGATCAGCGGTGATCTGCTCCCCCTCTTCAGGAGCAGCAGCTGCCCATCCGCAACATGCGCTTCCACGCTCGGGGCCGCTTCGAGGAGAAGGCCCGGAAGCTGCAGATTCCCCTCGAGTCCGTGCCGGTGGCCGACCAGGCCTCGACCGTGCTGCGCCCTGACAGTGGTTGATGAGATGCCGAGATACCCTTAAAACTTAAAAGACATCAAAAAAAATACCAGCCAGGTGACATTGTTGTTGAATCTGAATCTGAGGTATGGTTGCCTCTTTGGTGGCGACACGCGCTTCTTTCGGGAGCCGCTGTACCAATCCTTCTTCGAGTACATGGACCAGAAGCGAGGCTGGCAAGAGAGAGTTCCCTGCACCCCAGTGGTTCTAGAGATGTGTTTATGGCGGGTCTAAGGCGGGTGCGGTGGGTGCTTTTGCCACAGGCTTCGAGCAACACGGCTGGAGCAATCAGCACGCCCGGCCGTTTGAGGGTTAGGGACCCTCCTCACCTCGAGAGGGAAGCGTCCACTTCCCAGGTTCTTCCTGGGAACCGCGGCGGCAGCCTTCCTGGCGCCCTGCGAGGCCGAAGAACTTGTGAAAGTCATGAGGTTGCCAGGTTGAAAGGGCACGGGCGCAACGCGAACGCTCGCTTAGGTGAGCCGGCTCTATGTCAGCGGCGTGCACCAGGACATCTGCTTCGTGCAGGGTGTGAATCTTGAGTTGAGCCTTGGCTGCTTGCCTTTTTGACTGCTCCCATGAGTTGCTCTGAGCTGCCTGTGCGACTGCCACTTTGCCTCGTGTGCAGGACTCTTCCATCAACGTCTCCGGCAGCGGCTCGGCCTGTTGAGCCCGGACGGGGGTTTCAACTGAGACCTGGAGTTCTTCTCACATGTTCTCAAATGTTTTCACATGTTCTCACATGTTCTCAGATGTTCTCACATGTTCTCGCATGTTCTCACATTCCCTTGCGTTAGGTCATCTGACAGAGTTCTTGCTGGGCGCCAGCCACGGCTTCCTGCGGTGAGCGAAGAAACGCCGAGACGCCCGGTGCCTCCCGAGCAGAGCAAGCTCTCAACTCCCTAAACCCCAAACGCCCTTGGCCCACAGAGCCCAAACTAAGCAACCTTAGTGCACGCCCCTCAAAATGACATGGACCGCCTTCGCCCTTCGCTCCCTTTTTGCAGGCTCAAGAAGCCCGCATCGCTTTGTGTAAAAGGCTCGGTTTTTGGGTGTCCCTCCCCGGGCGCAGATGGCTTTCCGCTCGGCAAGGGCCCCGGCTGGGGGAACGAGGGAGGCGAAATTGCGGAAAGAGTCTTCCCTTGTCATCCGTCAGTGCAACTGCATGCACGTAGTATGCACATTCACATCCATTCTCCCGGTAAGAAGTTCCTCCACAGGACTCCAGGCTGATCGTCTGAGTGCAGCTTCCATTTTTCCGTTCTGAGTAGAGGATCTTCGCGAGCCTTCCAATGGAAGTGCCCCCTTCAAGCACGCTGGAAACTGAAGGCCCAAAAAACCCAGTGTCAGCCTTCGCTAGGCTCGACCACTTCGCTTCCGCCTGACAAGGCTCTTGCGGGCAGGACCCGGGCCACCCCTGAAGGATGACAGGATGTGGGGGGTTAGAGGCCCGCAAAGCTTGAGAAGTTTCTTTTGCTGGGGCCTGGGAGGTATCTACGCGTCACTGAAGCTCAGCTGCTTTTTTTAAAAGTCTTGCAGACAGCGAACCACAAACTGGGGACTCCCTGGGGACTGCTAGGGGAGGACCCTGGATTCGAGGCAAGTTGCTTAGGAGACCAGAGGCCGGGCGCAGGCGCTCTTGAAAGGCTTCGGAAGAACACACTCCGATGTCCGACCCTAAAAGCCCGTAAGCTCGACGAAGAACCAGAAAAGAAGCAAGAAATCCTCAACCCCCCTGAAACCGGCAAATCGTTTCAGGAGGTGCAGAAGACGCGAAGCCGCGGTGGACTCTGCCCGAGGTGAAAGAGTCCCCAACAAGAGCCTTGCGAGCATTCGAGAGCCCAAAATGGGGGAAGCACTGTCAGAGGCAGACTACCACAAGTACACCTACCAGCCCTCCATCCCAGACAAGCATTTCAACATCGGCCACTGGAACTATGCACCGGGCCTCAGCTGCGAAGACTTGAAAAAGACTTGAGAAAGAGTTGAGAAGGTGTACCTTTTTGGGGCACTCTAGTGATCTCTGGTGCCGTTTGCAGAGTCCTATAATTTAGGCCCCTATCACCATGTGGCTGCGCGCCCGGCGCCCCGCGATGGAGCGCGTGCTGGGTGACGCCCGCGGCCCAGGGGGGAATCCGAGAGATGCACTTTTTCAGGAGAGGAGCCGTGGCCCGACATCTGCAAACTGTCGCTGCTGTGACTCTGTTGGGGGGCTCAGGTCTACACCACTCTGACCGCCACAGGGACGGCAGTCTGGTCGCCCTTTTACGCACGGGGCCCAGCCATTGTGTCAGAGTCGTAAAGCTCGGGGCCACTGAGACTGAACGCACCAATTCTTTTTCAGCTCCAGGCGAACATCCACGCCAACCTCCCAGGGTTCGGCTACAAGTTCCTCGGACTGGTAGGCGACCCCGCCATCCCCGTTTTAAGCCGCGGAAGCCACATCGCCCTGGCAGGGGCGATTGGGCGCAGTATAATGGAGTATCATTGCAGTCGCCTTTCTTTTTTTGGAGGTGCCCTCATCGGCTACAACCTTGCCGCGGCTCGCCTAGAGGGGTTTTTGACTTCCTCTCAGTATCTCTGAGCTCTTTCTGAGCTCTCTCTAAGCCGTCTCAGGTCATGTACGTGACTTCCCGCACCGAGGCCTTTGGTTCATATTCTTCATTTTCTCCGGGCATCGCTCCCTGTTTTGCTGGCTATTCCAGGCCTGGATGTTCCTCGAGAAGATTCGCCTGTATGCTCTGGGCGACGAGTGCCGCGGCTCAAAAACCCTCATTCAGGGGTTGGGGCTGTTGTGGCACTAGCAGTAGCGTAGCCATCGAGGGGTCGTCGAGGGTCGAAGTCATGTCGAATTTCAGCAAGTTTGATGACGTTTCTACATTGCTACGTGGTTGACTGTAATGCAACATGGCTTGAAGTGAGTTTTTCTTGACCTCGCTGTTCACGAGAGAGATATTTGCAAAACTCACTAGAAGATTGCAACCTGGTGCGCATGGGAACATGGGCTGCTGCGTGATAGTCACATCTGGGCTTTGAGCAAACGTGGATTTCTCATCATCGCCATGATGACCAGGAGCTGCCTCCCGGGCCTGCTTGCGATGCTCGCGGGCCTGGAAGGTGGTGCAACGAAGTTGTCCATGTCGCAGTCGAGGTCTTCTTGGGGCAGTCCTGATATCGTTAGGGATCGATGCGGGGTCACAAGGGAGAAGGCAAACGAAACGTGCACGGGAGGATGCCGGACCAACAAAGATTGCCCTGGGGAGCAGAAGTGTTTTAATGGCCTCAGGCCTTGCCGGCGCAATGGTGGGACTTCGCGATGTGGAAGCAGCAAACACGACGCGAAGACCCACTGCGGCCGTGATTGCTGGGGTGATGGTATGTGCCATCATTGGCTTACTTGGTGCTACCATGACCTTCCTCTCGAACCGTGTTTCAGCTGGGTGCCATACGAACAAGATGAACAACGATATCAGCCAACGCATGAGGTGATGAAGGTCCCGGACCTTACCGCGATGTTGGCAGATGCTCACAATCGCATACGCAAGAGACATGGAGCTGAGCCGCTGTCCAAGGATGAGACTCTGAAAAACGAAGCCCAGGTGATTGCGGACAAGTGTGACCTAAACCCGAAGAAGATCCAAGAGACGGATACCCCAGGAGAGAACCGCTTTTTCTTGCTGGGACCTGACGAGGGGCCTGAGGAGTTTGAGGGGCTCCAGGCCCTGGAGAGCCTCGTGGGCCATGTCATGCATGACTGGTACGACACTGCCATGAGTTACTACGACCCCAACCAGTCGGAGCACAAGGATGGGAAGACATGGACATGGACGTACTCGGATCCCTTCACGCAAGTGGTCTGGAAGTCCACACAGCGCCTTGGCTGCGCGCAGGCCAAGTGCACCCTTCGGACTGTGAGCAAGCGGCAGAAGAAGACGAAGAAACCACTTCAAGGCACAGTCGTAGTCTGCAAGTACGACCCTCCCGGCAACATACCAGGGCAGTTCCTCGAGAATGTCGAGAGCGGCTAGAGGGCCCTGCGTAGGTAGACCCGACCAGGCTTCCTGCCCGGGTGCAAGAGGATCTGCTGCGCTGCTGCTGCACGCCCCTGAAGCTAGGAGAATTCTGGCACATGCCCCCTCTGTCCAGCTTTTCGTCAGCCCTTGCTCTCTCCAATGTTGTCCACAAGGACCGTCCACTTAAAACCCAGTCACCCTGAACAATCAGGAAAAGTATTCCTTCAGGGCTCCTCATGTTTTGTGAGGCCCCTGTAAGTATCATGAGGGGAGTGCCTGGTTCTGGCCAGGCTTAGTGTTTGGAGTTTGGCCGGTCGGGGCTCAGCATAGGATTCCAGTGGGATTCCACTGGCCAGTGGGTAGTGGAATCATGAGTGGACTAGCGGGCAGTGGGATTCCACTGCTCAAATAGCGGGTTACAACTCGTGGGTAGGAACGTTGTGGCACCCTGAGTGCGACTCAGGCTGGTGAAGAAGGGCTTTTTCATGTCCGACTCAGAGGCCTGCAGTTGTAGTTCATATGCACTTCCCAGCATGGCCTTTTAATCTCACCGCCTTCGGCCCGGATGTTGCAAGCTGCGAAGGAGGCGCACTCTCGGCAGCACAAGTACGACCACGAGGTCGAGCGGCTGAACCACCTCTGGGAGGAGGCCGGGGAAGCTCTGGGGGCAGTTTTGCGGGGAAATTTCGAAGGGCCCGCCGCCATTCCGCAGGCCATCGCGGATGCCACGCAGATGAGGTCCTTCGACAGGCCGAGCGCAGCTTTTCGCATAGAGAACATCTGCCCTAAAAGCCCTGGTGTTCTCTTGTAATCTTCCCTGCGACTTCTTCTGTGATCTTCTTCTGTGATCTTCTTCTGTGACCTCTTCTTGTGATCGTGTGCTCAAGGCTCTGTGAGCATCTCGCCGTGGATCCTGAGAAGCTCCCCGTGGCTGAGATCCCCAAGCCGCTTGGAAGAGGAGAGCGGCAGCCGTCTCTTTGCCTTGTGGTGTCTTGCAGCAACAAGAACTCCCGCTACAAGTGGTAGTCACTGGAAGAGGGGAACTGAGAAGTCTGTCATTCGAATGTGATGTTTTGTATTCTGTTCTTTATTGTGTGCAGAGCGCAAGCAATTTTCCAGTCTTCTCCGGACAAAGGCCCATCTCCTGGCGATTCAGCCTGATGCCGCAGAAGCCCCAGAGGACTCTGGCAACGGCCATCCAGAGAACACTAAATTGTGACATTTGCTAGGGAGGGGCTCAGTTTGGCAACTGTACCCTTTACATACTCCCTTTTTTTCATTCTTTACACCGTCCAGCATCCGAAGCTCCTGATACCCCGCGGTTTTATTCTCACCGTGAGCACTGCCGTGGCTGAGGTATGGACGGGATGATCCCGATGCCAAGACCTTCAGCTTCGCTCCTGTAGACTCGCCAGCGGCCGGGAGCCTGGGAAGAGAGTTTCTGGCCACACGCCTGCCGCGTGTGTGCGCAAAGAGTGTCTGTGAGTGTCGATGTCGGAAAATGCTCGAGAGAGGCCAGCAACTACTTCTTGCTCGATATGGGGAACTCCGGCGACTACATCGACCGCCAGGTGCGGGGGGCGGTGGGGGGGGGAGGGAGGAGGAAGGGGGAGGGGGGGGGAGGAAAGGGAAGGGAAGGGGAGAAGGGGAGAAAGGAGCCCATGGGCCTAGTTTGTGACTTTTTGCTGCTCCTCGCACGCCTCGCAGGACAACAAGCCGAATCCCATCCGCAAGGGCCGACACATGTACACTGCTGCGTACATGCCCCCGACAAAGTGAGGGCCTCTCGTGTCCAGTGGCCGGGTGGCGAGCGTTTTTTTTTCATGCTTTAACGTGTGCGACCGGAAGTCAAAGAGCCCGAGCCCGACATGCCCGACAAGTCCAGAAGGACTCTTGACACTACGCTCAGACTACTCACATACATGCAGAATAGGTGTAAACAGAAGGGAGACAATGAGGGGAGCTGTGTTGTATTCGCGGGCTCCGGATTCACTGAAGTCAGAGATTCAGCGGGATGGAGCGAAGAATGATAGTGCTGACATATATTGCTGTGATGTGAAGAGGCTTGCAGAGGAGCTTAAAAAAGAGCGAGTCGTGCAAGGCATGGAGATGGAAGGGGCTTTTCACAGCTTCGCGAGTCGCTTGCCAAAACGTTGCTCCTTCAACCTTGTCCGATGGCCCTTTGCAGCTTGTCACATCAACCCAAGTCAACCCAAATCAACCCAAACCCACTTGTCAAGCTGTGACAGGGAGTCTAGCCAAGTCCAATTTTCCCTTCCTTTTGCGATGCCCGCGCTGTGAGGGATGTTTACTCAAGGCCGGACTCCTGCACCCTGCAGTTGACAGGCAGAGAGAGCGGAACCATGCGAAACCTGGGAAGCTTGGCAACCGAGGGAAGAATTGGGGCCTTAGATCACGGCTTGTCGAGGCTCATCAGGCTCATCGTGTTCATATGGGCTCATGGAGGTTTCGACGGTTTCAGTGCACTCGGCTGCAGGTGCCCGCACGATTGGCACGCCCCTCGATGTCGCGGCCGGCGTGTCCACGCGCCTCAGATCGTCGAATGTATGAATGTATGATCTCCCATATGCCCTCTGCCCTGACAGAATCTGGAATCCACACCCCGACAACCGAAGGGACCGAAGACCGTCATTTCATTTGGGATCTGAAGGCCATGTCTTGCCCGAGGCTGCGCTTGGACACCCCAGGCCGGCGCCATGGCCACGTGGCCGCCTCAGCATGCGGAGTTATCTGTGGGGAAAAGGAGAGGCACACGAGAAGGGCTCCATCTAGAGGTTGGAGCCTGTGGAATGACCTCGGGCAAGCCCTGCGCAGAAGTCGAGCACGCACCTGAGGTTTTCTATCCGCGCGAGGATGCCGCTGCTCGGAACCCCGGCAGATGCACGGCTGATGTTTGCGAGGGGTGGCGGGGCTCTTAGGGGCTCAGGCCAGGCCTCCCTCGAGAAGCCTGTCCCAGTTGTCTCTGAGAGGATCCGGGCATGCGGTAATATCATCCGGTAAAGTGTTAGGAGATGTGGAAGCCGCGCAGAACGGATACACAATGGATTCGCAAGTTCCTTAGAACGCCGAGGCTACGGTGCGAATCCTGGAGGTATAGCTATAAGATATTCCAGACTTTAGCTCTACACTGTTCATCCATATCCACCCCAATTTCTCAGCCATTTCCACCACCCCCAGAGGAAAAAATAGCCAGAGAAGTCTAAGTATCCAGAGATATGGCCCCACATTGTGCGGCCATACGCATGTGGTGGGAGGAGCCGTTGGCTCGGCCCCGTCGCCGCCCTTGGCGGCGTCGGCCTCCTCTCCAGGCCAAGAACCTGCAGTGCTCTATGCGTGGCCGCTGTCTGGCCCCTTCGTGTAGTGCTCTGCACAATTCTCCACCCCGCAGATCTCGGCAGACCCCGATCAGGCCAGGCCGAGATGGTATGTGAAGGCTCATGCAACATGTCGGGATGTGACATTGCGCCAATGTCGCAGGCAGAGAGGAGATCCCTCCCCTGCGGTTTCCTTCCCCAACCCAAGGCCCACGCCCGAAACGCGCTTTGCGGGCCACTTGTTAGATGTTTGTGCCGTGTCTCGGCACGTGACATTCGCCAGGTTCCTACAAAGTTCGCCCGCCCTACGCTGCAGATGTGAGGGCCTTGCTTCCTGCCGCTAATTCTCGAGGACTGCCTGCAGAGAGCTCTTGTGCGGTCTCTGCGAGTCTTCGAGGATGGCATGCCAAAGCGCATGGAAAGAGCGACGCCCGAGCGCGGCCAAGGGCCGGGTGCGCGGCCGTCATCGGCCTCGGCGCCGTGGGAGGCAGCAGCGAGGCAACGATGTACATGCACTGCATTGTACTGCCGTGTCTTCCAAGCGCCCGCAAAGTCGATGTCCCCCATGTGGTGCCACATGATGCCACATGATGCCAGGTGCACTCAGCCAGTTGTCGCTCCAGCCGTCTGGCACTACCGGCCACCATCGGCTCGTGAACGGTCGCTGGGACGAGGCACCCCGAGTCTCACCCGCGGAGAGGGAGAGGTTGATCATGAGGAAGTCGACTGAGTAGACGTAACAGATCGTAACAGCACATGTCATGGCACTGATTGGCTGAGTGCCGCCCATGCTGGGCGCTGCTGGGCGCGTCCTTGATTTCGGGCAGGTTCAGAACGATCTACGCCGCGGTCTTGTGACCGTACTTGACTTGTGCCTTGTGGTAGCTTGCGCATCTTCGTTTGTCGATGTTTTGCCGTTTCCGAAGTTGCAGGTCTCCTTCGGCACGCTTTGACAGTGCTAAAGGCCCCAGAGGACTGTCATCCGATGCCATCACGCAAGCCCCCAGCCTAGTCCCCACCCTTTCCCCTCTCACGCCCGTCCGGAGGAGGTCCGGTCGGCTACGAGAAGGAGGCAAGGTCAACACAGCGGGGATGCGACTCACACGCTCAGAGCAGCTAAGCGCGGGAAGGGGAACTTTTGCAAGCACGGCGAACCTCAGTGAGCCTGCAACACGACCCATTCAAGGGTTTGATTGTTTTTTTTCGTGTTTGGTGTTTCTCTTTGGCCGCCCTTTGGTGGGTGGCTCTCGGCCCGGCAGATCCTGCGCGCCGCCTCGCCCCTGCGGATCCCACGGGCCGGATACGGACTTGACCTCGACAGCCTCGACCCGCCACGGTTCTCAGGCCTCGCGGATCCTTGAGCTTCGGAGAGTCTTCGCAAAATCCTTGAGGGAGCGTCTCTGAGAGTTTCACACCTCGTGCCTTTTGTTGTTTGAGATATTTTTTTCCTGAGAGAGGAATGCTTTCCCTTGGTTTGCCTCTGACGGGAGCTCTGCTCGCTCTGCTCCGCCGTGGGTCAGGAGCGGGTTCAGCGCCGGACTCGAAGCCGAGTGCCAGGAGCACCCCAAACCCAACCCATCCTCGGGGTCTCTGCAAGCTGCGTTTATTGTGGGATATTGCAGGGTGCACTTGAAGATGGTTTAGGACTTTACAAGGACCTTAAAGATCCAGACATATCCAGACCATGCAGAAGAAGCCTCGCTGGCACTAGGCGAGGAGCCGCCGGCCCCGCCCTTCGCCCGCGGCCCACACGGGCGGCGGCGAACCTGGCGGGCAACAAGATCTCCCAGGAGCGGGGGCTCTGAATGCCGCTCTGGCGGAGAATGGTTCGGGTAGCTGCGAACAGAAGGTGTCGCTGAAACTTTGCTGAACGGCAGCGCTTGTCCGCAATTCTTGTGCAGGCGCGCGCTGACCTCCGCGCCAGGCGAGAGGAGGGGGTGAGGTAAGGGCTGGCAACCGATACAAATCTTCCTGGATTCATCTAGAGGCAAGGGGTTGTGTCAACGTGATGCAACGTGCACCCGAGACATCTGGGCTCAGTCTGGTTGCATCTGGTTGCTCATCGAACCTGCCTCCCTCGACCATGGCCTCCGTAAACGTGATCACCGACAGCCGCCTCTTCGCGCCGTGGCAGCAAGATCCAACATGAGTAGCAGCTAGACTAGCCGCTGGACTAGCATGATGATCGTGACGTGGGCGGTCGGGGCGAGTCGCAAAACTGTCACATTGGGCGATGGCTGAGGTCAGCGAGCCCGATCCTCGCTGGTTCGGTAATCCCCGGAACCCGCCAGACGCCGCAGCTCAGGCGCGTTGACGCTGACATACACTGACCGTGGTGCTCCATAATGCTTCCAAAGACTTCCCTCGTTTGGACTTGGCAAGTCTCAGCAGCGTATTGCTGAAAACGGAGGGGGGGGGGCGGCAAATTGTCATGCCGCACACGCTGAGAGTATTCGCACGATGAAACAGTGTCCGCTGTGCGTTGCCTCGGTCAGCTCGGCGCAGACTGAGAGTAGAAAGGGACATCAACCCGTGAAGCCTAAATTCTTAAGCGTCGGCAGGCCTCAGCTAGTCCCCCCTTCGACCACATGGATTATGTCGGGTTTGTGCCCAGGGTTGGACGAACCAGAACTGGCTGAAGCTGCTTGTCTGATTCGGGTTGCCTGTGAATGCCCGTCGTGCCGAGTCTGTGTCGAAGACTCAGGTCGAGATTTCACTTCAACTTCGCGGAGTACAACGACGGCCCGAGCAGCTTTGGCGTCTTGCGCGTGATGAGCCTCGGCTAGCCCCGGGACTTTCTGAAAGGGTATCTGGATTCAGAGTATCTCGAGCGTACTCGCAACCCCTACGACTTTCCAGTGCCCCCGCAGTCGCAGTCCGCTTGAGGAACGATGACCTGGTGCAGGGCGAAAGAGGATTTGGTGAGCACCCGCGCCGGGCTCGGATACGGGTCGGAATGAGAGTCCTCCCTGAGCATGTTAAACTGTTATGACTTTTGATGGGAGGGTTTGATATCGAGCTTTCAGTCAGGCACAGAGACATGGAAATACTCACCTTCATAGCCGCTTTACTGCAACGAATTCTCACCGACAGCCTTGCAAGTCGGCGTGCGGTCGCATGCCGTCCTGTCGAGGTGGACGGAGGTCTCACGCACAAGGACCACCGTGGGGGCGGCGCGTCATCTCCGAAGTGCACGCTGCTGTTGCTCTTCCCTGCTGTTCCCTGCTGAGGACTCCAAAGGCAACGAAGAGACACTCGGCCGCGGCGCAATCCAGTTCATGACTGCGGGCACCGGGATCTACCACTCTGAGCACAACCTGGCCAAGAAGCCGCTGCGGTTCATCCAGTGCTGGGTGGCTGCTTGGCGCTGCCTAGAAACCTCCGCTGTCTTAATCTCTGCCAAGCCTCACTGAAAAAAACGACAGGCTTCAGACTTTATACTGCAGTATCATATCATATCAGGGCTCATGCATTGCCTTGCTTCTCATTTATCGAGGTGCCGCGGGCCCGAGGCCTGAAGCCCAACTACGGCTCTAGCCTCGGCGGCGAGGAGGCGGCCGCGGCCCGCAGGGACCAGTGGGCGCACATGGCCCCTTGACCGAACCCAGAGCCATGGAAGTCACACGAAGCTTTCGGGAAGCCTAGGAAAGCTAACTACGGCCGTCCCCACTCCATCTCCCTCCATGTCTCCCGTCTCTCGTCCTCCCTTCAGTAGAGCAATCACAATGTATGGAGGGTGTTGAAGTTGCCGCGGATTCGGAAGACTGAGGTCTCTGACGAGATGTCTTCCGTGCGGACGCAGATCAAGATCAACCAAGACTGTAACGTTTTCGTCGCGGAGCTCTCGCCCGGCAAGACCTCTCCGCCCCTGACCATTGCTGCAGGGCGGCAGGCCTACATGCTCTGTGTGGAGGGCGAAATCCAGTTCCAGAAGCAGAGCCTTCAGCGTCACGACGCGGCAGAGCTCAAGGGGGCATCCCAGCTAGAATTGATTCATTCAGGGTTCGTGCAATGCAAGCACAAAGTATGATGCAAAAGCATGTTCCCCCCCTCCCACCCCCCCACCCCCAACAGAAAATTGCAGAGGCACTGGACCTGGAGCTCGCTGCGGGTCCTTCCGGTGCATTGATCCTACTCTTCGAGATGGCGCAGAACCGGGACTCCCGCCGAAGCTTCTGAAGATGTGGCGGCCAATGTGGCGGGCCTGTGAACTCCCGAAAACCACATCACCCCACGCCAGTTACGCCAATTAATTCCCAAGCTGGTCCTGGACAAATGATGGACCAAGCTTCGCAAGTCTCAAAAGGCACACCCTTTCCTATGCCCTATGCTTTCCACTTGAAGTCGCATGGTTTTGGTGGCCTTCCCTGGATCTTGGGAAGTGACTTTTCCTGTCCTGGAAAAATGATGGGCAGCAGCGAAAGCCCGGGCGCTTAGCCCCCAGCAGGGCCTTGTACAGACAGCATCCGAGATGCGAGGAGAACATGGGCAAAGATGGAGCGTGCCGCCAACGCCGCATTCGCATGCATGCACCAGCCCTTTCTTGTGATAGTACCCTTCATGTTGGAACCCCTTAGTGCTGGCACACTGCTTGGGGAACTTTGCAGAATCTGGGTTTTTTGGGGCGAGTTGCCCTCGTTAGGCCGTTTGCCAGTTGGCCGTAGTGCGTGTGAGGCGGGCCGACCTCCGCATGAACCATGGAGAGGCGTGGCGTGGAGATGCGACGTTCGGCGAGTTGTTGGAGATGGTTCACGTAATGTGCATTTACGTTCTTGGGGTGTCTAAAGGCTTGGAGCTGTGGATGCTCTCGCCAAATTAATAGCCTTGCAGGTCAACGGACGCGAAGCACGCGCGCCTGGGAAAACATGGTGCTGGCAGCACGGTTTGCCGAGGTCAATCTGCCACAGGCCCTCTTGAGGCATGGTGTAGGAGCCGCATGATTGCACACCACCTTTGGCTCCAGCTCTGAGCACCCGACATCCCTGCCTTGGCGAGTTGAACCATGTTTGACCAGATGGTGAAGCTCGCAGCGCTGGCATTTCTCCCGATTTCGTTGGGGTGCAGCTACGTGGAGATTCCCTATCCAGACACTGGACGGAACTCGGCAAAGTCCTACCTCATTCCCAGGACCATGGAGCTTTGGGATCTGTTCAACACCACCAAGTACAGCATCGAAGCATTCCCGCGAGGAAATGGAAACAGATTTGGCTGGCTTGCGCCTCTGAACATCTTCCACTTTCCACCGGCCTACCAGCCCCTGAAGTTTCCTTTCGAGGGCATGAACGAGGCGGGCCTGACGGTCTCCGCGCTCTATCTGGCACAGTCTGTCTATGAGCAGCCGCAGCCAGGAAAGCCGGGGTTCAGTGCCTTGGAGTTTGTCCCCGCCATCCTCGCGAACTGCTCCACCGTCGACGAGGTCGTGGCAACGCTCGAGTCGGTGACCGTTCTGACTCCGTTCATCCCAGGTGTCCCGGAGGAGGCGCTCAAGACGGCCACCTTGCATTGGGCGATTGCTGACGCTTCTGGGCGGTCAATCGTCGTCGAATACCTCCAAGGCCAACGGATGATTCATGAGAACGCTCCGAGAGTCATGACGAACGACCCAGACATCAAGTGGCACTGGAGGAACTTGAACACCCGCGTCCACCTGAGCCCAAGCTATCCGTATCAGAATGACATGCTGCAAGTGAAGGCGGACGACGATGTGGGCGTCGTCCCATCGGCCACGGCTGGAACCTCTTCGGGCTTCCCGGGGACACGACTTCACCAAGCCGCTTCATCCGATTGTTCTACCTGCGCGGCTATGCCATGGAAGCCAGCCCCATCAAGAGCTTCGAGGACGCGGTCGTCTTAGGAACCGCCCTTCTCAACAACGTGTTCATCCCATTCGGCCCCGTCGCCGCTGATCCCAGAGCGGGGCCCAGCGACGGCCCCGAGTTCACGGACTACGGCGTCCTGAAAGCCCCCAAGGAAAGAGTGTATCTGATCCGAGGCTATCGGAACACACAGTGGCGGAAATTTGACCTCAAGCGCCTGGACTTCTCCAAAGGCTACACCTGGCCTCTTGAGGACGGCTCGCTGGGTATACAGGACGCCACCGATTCAGGCGAGAGCACTCCTTCGCAAGCCGGGGAGCTCTGACTTTCACTTTCCATGGCGCTGCAAGCGGCTGACCGCTGCTCCCTGCGTCTCGTTTTGGGACTTTTGTAACCTGTGCAATGCTTTGCGTGTGGGGCTTGAGCTTCAGTAGCGCCTCACAGTCCTGCTCTTCACAGGATTCACAGGCTTCCTGCGCTGTTGTTTTCTGTTGCATTGGTCGATCTTCTCTCCCCGGTACAGAGAGAAAGTGCAAAGTGTGCAGTTATGCCGGTTTTTGCTTGGGCGGAGGATCCCTCCAGTCTTGTACAGCTGTGCAAACACAGAGCAACGCCAGGATGCCTGTCTCTACCCCGAGAGCAAAAGAGGCCGCGCCATCACACAGCCTTGCAAGGCCGCGCGTCACTGACAACGCGCAGCGCGAGCTAACGGCGCCACTGATTAGCTTCGCTGGCAGCCGGAAGCTGCTGCCGAAGGCGGACAGATTGTAGCTTCGTGACAGCTCCGCAAAGTGTCTGCAAGAGTCACTACGTCTTGATCTGTGCAATCGTCCTGCGCGCACTTGTCTAAAATGAAGCAATCAAGCCGCATGCCCGCAAGCCGAAACGCTTTCAAGCCAATTCTTTTGACAAGCGCTGGCATCTTTGACCGCGTTTCGCAAAGTCTGAGTGAAGAGCACTTTGCCCCACTCGTGATGACACCACCACTGTGGAATTTAAGCACGGCTGAGGACTGGGCACACTAATTGAGAATACAACAGGGGGGCAATGCAGACGGATGATTGGCTCATCGGGAGGCTGCGGTGCCATCAACCCTTGGGTCAGGTAATTCCGATATCCATCTGATCCGACATCTGAATATTGCCGCTGCAGGCCATTCTGGCTCAGAGAAGGCGGCGAACACTCTTTAAATCATTGCTGCTCTTCGCCATTTTTTGTCTCATTCTTGCTCTCATTCTCTCTGTGTCAGTTGTGATCACTTGCCCAGGTGCCACAATTCTTTGGACTGGAAACGTGCACATGCAGCGTGATAGGATTTTCTGGCTGCTTCCCTTCACACGTTTACTTTCGCGTGCTTTGTAACATCAGACATTCCGTAGAAACCATCAAAGCCACAAGAAACTCAGGAAGAACAAGAAGCAGCTCTGTCACGGCTTTCAATTGATGCCCTTGACAAGCACGCGAGTTCTGAGAGAAATGTTGCATTCCGATGGCGGGCCTTTGCAGCGGGCCTCTGTGCATAAGCTGAGCTTGCGCTTTTCGATGTTTTTTTGTATTTGTGAGTTTGCTTGTGTATGGCTTCACTAAGTACTTTTCTAGGATTCTTGTGCATTTTTTAGGCCTGATTGTGCAAGTTGTGTTTTTCAAACATAGTATATAAGTGGTCTTTCTTAAATACTTCAGACATCTTTGTTTCATCGTTATGTAAGTAGAACCGCGCTCAATGCTGGTGACCAAGCAAAACAGGGAGAGGCCCTTCCATGTGGAGGCATCACGGTCGACAAACACACGGCAGATTGTCGCAGAACTTGTTCCCATCTAGCCTGCTCTCGTAATTACTACGGATGTGTTCTCGGCACGGGTAGAAGTTGGCGCAGCGAACTTTGCAAGAAGGCCATGAGCACTGCGCCAGCGGTTGTGGGATTCTTACAGCGTGAAGGGATACTCGTGGAGGGGATGCCACATCCAAGGGCCGGGATGCGCTAGAACAAATCAGGGCTGACCTGCTGCCCGAATTCCCGTCCCCAGCAGAACCCACATCCCGCGGCCTTCAGTCCGCGAGCAGGCTCAATTTTCAAGATCTTGGAGACCTTCGAGCTCGACCTGAGACTGTTCTCGGTACTGGCAGGGTGATATCGTCAGGGATGAAATGGGCACCTGCGTGGACGGATACCCAGCGAGACGATGGCCTGTGGATATCATCCTTCGCATTTCCACGCTGGGGCAGGGGCGAGACTAAAGCAGGAGCTCCAGGCCAGAAGAAGCACCGCCGGATATGGGCGGCGCAAGCCTTTCTCCTGAGCCCACGGCAGGCTGCTTGGACAAACCTGTTATCACGGCGACTTGCACGGCTGGTGCGCCGTGCGGCGTACGGTGAAAGTTTGAAAGCCGACGCACAAACGTGCACATGCAGCGTGATAGGATTTTCTGGCTGCTTCCCTTCACACTTTTTCTCTCGCGTGCTTTGTAACATCAGACAGTCCGTAGAAACCGTCAAAGCCACAAGAAACTCAGGAAGGACAAGAAGCAGCTCTGTCACGGGTTTCAATTGATGCCCTTGACAGGCACGCGAGTTCTGAGAGAAATGTTGCATTCCGATGGCGGGCCTTCGCAGCGGGCCTCTGTGCATAAGCTGTGCATCAGCGTCTCTGAGCCAGAATGGCCTGCAGCGGCAATATTCAGATGTCGGATCAGATGGATAGCGGAATTACCTGACCCAAGGGTTGATGGCACCGCAGCTTCCCGATGAGCCAATCATCCGTCTGCGTTGCCCCCCCTGTTGTATTCTCAATTAGTGTGCCCAGTCCTCAGCCGTGCTTAAATTCCACAGTGGTGGTGTCATCACGAGTGGGGCAAAGTGCTCTTCACTCAGACTTTGCGAAATGCGGTCAAAGATGCCAGCGCTTGTCAAAAGAATTGGCCTGAAAGCGTTTCGGCTTGCGGGCTTGCGGCTTGATTGCTTCATTTTAGACAAGTGCGCGCAGGACGATTGCACAGATCAAGACGTAGTGACTCTTGCAGACACTTTGCGGAGCTGTCGCGAACCTACTGGTACTGTATCAGTCAAGGATAAATGGGCCCACGATTGGGCCCATTATCAGCCACTCATACTGTTGGTTCGATGGTACATCCGGGTTCCACCTCCAGAGATCTAGACAGACACAGGCTTTTGCCAACATGCAGAGCTCTTTGCCGAACCCAGACGACAGGAAACGACACACGTTGAAGCTCAGTTGGGCTGTCGGCTCTTGCAGCAGCTGCTTTGTTTCCGCGGAATCACAAGCTGCTTCATCATTGAGATCCATATCATAGGCCACATGTTGTTGTTCATTTCCTGGGCCAGAGGCTCGACAACCGAGAGTCAAAGAGATGCAGGAGAACCCTGCATTATTTTTCGTTCGAGTGTGGTGGATTGAAAGCTCAATTTTTTGAGAAGGGTGGCTCAAATCGTCGTGGAAGGGCAAGCTTGCGGTAGCACGCCGTAGTGAAGATGGCTTTCATTGAGAAGGTCTTGGTTGTGGTGACGTTCGTCTTCAGCCTCTTTTTGAATGTGCTGGCAGCACGTGGGTTCCTCTCTGCCCAGTCCATCGGCACAGTCTCCAGCCAGTATCCCACGTATCTCACGCCGGACATGTTGACTTTCTTGGTTTGGGCTGTCACCTACACCCTGGAGGGCATACTGGTGGTCATGCAGTGTTCCACATCTGAGAGTGCAGAGAAGGCCTTGCAGCAGCGATGCTGCCTGACAAGCCTTTCGGTTCGGTGGCGCTTGGTCATCGCCTTCCTTCTCAATGCACTCTGGCTGCCCCTCTATGCCAACATGCTCTTTGGGAAGTCTATGCTGGTCATCCTCGTGTACTTGGTATTCCTTCTCTTGATCTATGTCGACATCAACACCATGACAACTTGCTCATTGTGGCAGTGGGTGGTGTACGGTTCGGGCGTAGCCTGCAACATCAGCTGGGTGCTTGTTGCAACGGCCGCCAACAAGTTCACTCTGGCCGCCTCCTATGGCTGGATGGACGCCTATGGAGTCGCAGGCACTCCCCACACTGCAGTTCTTGTGATTGCAATCCTTGCGGCTGTGTCCCTGCTGGTGGCGACCGTGCGCAGCGACTTTGCCTGGTCGCTTGTCGCCGTGTGGTTCTTTGGCGGGCTGTACCGGCAGCATACCGTCTCAGATGGCAGCTTTCCTCCTGAGGCCATGAACAGGATGCTGTCTCTGTGTGCGTTGTGGGCATCCGTTGTGGTCGGGATGGCAACGGCGGTGGGCATCTTCCTGATTCGCGACAATGGGGCCTTCAAGTCGAAGGACTCGAAGGACTCAGAGCTCCCATTGGCCGCAGAGTGATTGCGAACTTTCCTTTTTGCCCGAAGCAGACCGCGCAAGGCAAATCGGAAGGCATCGCAAAGATTCGTAAAGTTGTAAAGGCCTTATGACAACTCGTAGGCCTGAACTGCAGTTTTTCATCCTTTCTTCCATGTTGGCGCCTAAAGGGACCAACTTCAACTCTTACTTGGCCCACGGCAAAGCGCAAACGGGCCCAGGGAGCTCCCCTTCCGCCTCATAAAGTGTCTCAGGTTAGGCCCATAGGCTCTAGGACTTTAGTCACTAGATGTCACTAGTCTAGGCTAGGGGGTCTTCACTGCATGTAGACTATGACTATGTTTTCAAAGAGTAGGTGGGCGGGGGTCGGCTACCGGAGCAGCACTGGACGACCTTCAACGGTCAACAGGTGCAGACGCGAAGCACACGGGCCTGGGAAGAAATGATGCTGGCAGTGTTGTTGTCAGGGAAGGTGGACTAGGCGGGGTTGGGTGGGGGGGAACCATATCATAGACCATATGTTGTTGTTTCATTTCCTGGGCCAGTGTCTCGACAACAACTCATCACTATTTTTAGATCGAGTTTGTTGGACTGAAATCTCAGTTTCCTGCCCGGGTGGAGTTGAGAAGGGTGGCTCAACAGCCTGGCTGACAGATCGTAGAATCGTCGTGGAAGAGCAGGCTTGCGGTAGACCGGTAGCACGCCGTAGTGAAGATGGCTTTCATTGAGAAGGTCTTGGTTGTGGCGACGTTCGTCTTCAGCCTCTTTTTGAATGCGCTGGCAGCACGTGGGTTCCTCTCTGCCCAGTCCATCGGCACAGTCTCCAGCCAGTATCCCACGTATCTCACGCCGGACATGTTGACTTTCTTGGTTTGGGCTGTCACCTACACCCTGGAGGGCATACTGGTGGTCATGCAGTGTTCCACATCTGAGAGTGCAGAGAAGGCCTTGCAGCAGCGATGCTGCCTGACAAGCCTTTCGGTTCGGTGGCGCTTGGTCATCGCCTTCCTTCTCAATGCACTCTGGCTGCCCCTCTATGCCAACATGCTCTTTGGGAAGTCTATGCTGGTCATCCTCGTGTACTTGGTATTCCTTCTCTTGATCTATGTCGACATCAACACCATGACAACTTGCTCATTGTGGCAGTGGGTGGTGTACGGTTCGGGCGTAGCCTGCAACATCAGCTGGGTGCTTGTTGCAACGGCCGCCAACAAGTTCACTCTGGCCGCCTCCTATGGCTGGATGGACGCCTATGGAGTCGCAGGCACTCCCCACACTGCAGTTCTTGTGATTGCAATCCTTGCGGCTGTGTCCCTGCTGGTGGTGACCGTGCGCAGCGACTTTGCGTGGTCGCTTGTCGCCGTGTGGTTCTTTGGCGGGCTGTACCGGCAGCATACCGTCTCAGATGGCAGCTTTCCTCCTGAGGCCATGAACAGGATGCTGTCTCTGTGTGCGTTGTGGGCATCCGTTGTGGTCGGGATGGCAACGGCGGTGGGCATCTTCCTGATTCGCGACAATGGGGCCTTCAAGTCGAAGGACTCGAAGGACTCAGAGCTCCCATTGGCCGCAGAGTGATTGCGAACTTTCCTTTTTGCCCGAAGCAGACCGCGCAAGGCAAATCGGAAGGCATCGCAAAGATTCGTAAAGTTGTAAAGGCCTTATGACAACTCGTAGGCCTGAACTGCAGTTTTTCATCCTTTCTTCCATGTTGGCGCCTAAAGGGACCAACTTCAACTCTTACTTGGCCCACGGCAAAGCGCAAACGGGCCCAGGGAGCTCCCCTTCCGCCTCATAAAGTGTCTCAGGTCAGGCCCATAGGCTCTAGGACTCTAGTCACTAGATGTCACAAGTCTAGGCTAGGGGCTCTTCACTGCATGTAGACTATGACTATGTTTTCAAAGAGTAGGTGGGTGGGGGTCGGCTACCGGAGCAGCACTGGACGACCTTGAACGGTCAACAGGTGCAGACGCGAAGCACACGGGCCTGGGAAGAAATGATGCTGGCAGGACGGTTTGCCGAGGTCAATCTGCCACAGGCCTTCTTGAGGCATGGTGTAGGAGCCGCGTGATTGCACACCACCTTTGGCTCCAGCTCTGAGCACCCGACATCCCTGCCTTGGCGAGTTGAACCATGTTTGACCAGATGGTGAAGCTCGCAGCGCTGGCATTTCTCCCGATTTCGTTGGGGTGCAGCTACGTGGAGATTCCCTATCCAGACACTGGAAGGAACTCTGCAAAGTCCTACCTCATTCCCAGGACCATGGAGCTTTGGGATTTGTTCAACACCACCAAGTACAGCATCGAAGCATTCCCGCGAGGAAATGGAAACAGATTTGGCTGGCTTGCGCCCCTGAACATCTTCCACTTTCCACCGGCCTACCAGCCTCTGAAGTTTCCTTTCGAGGGCATGAACGAGGCGGGCCTGACGGTCTCCGCGCTCTATCTGGCACAGTCTGTCTATGAGCAGCCGCAGCCAGGAAAGCCGGGGTTCAGTGCCTTGGAGTTTGTCCCCGCCATCCTCGCGAACTGCTCCACCGTCGACGAGGTCGTGGCAACGCTCGAGTCGGTGACGGTTCTGACTCCGTTCATCCCAGGTGTCCCGGAGGAGGCGCTCAAGACGGCCACCTTGCATTGGGCGATTGCTGACGCTTCTGGGCGGTCAATCGTCGTCGAATACCTCCAAGGCCAACGGATGATTCATGAGAACGCTCCGAGAGTCATGACGAACGACCCAGACATCAAGTGGCACTGGAGGAACTTGAACACCCGCGTCCACCTGAGCCCAAGCTATCCGTATCAGAATGACATGCTGCAAGTGAAGGCGGACGACGATGTGGGCGTCGTCCCGCGCCCCATCGGCCACGGCTGGAACCTCGTCGGGCTTCCTGGGGACACGACTTCACCAAGCCGCTTCATCCGATTGTTCTATCTGCGCGGCTACGCCATGGAAGCTAGCCCCATCAAGAGCTTCGAGGACGCTGTCGTCTTAGGAACCGCCCTTCTCAACAACGTGTTCATCCCATTCGGCCCCGTCGCCGCTGATCCCAGAGCGGGGCCCAGCGACGGCCCCGAGTTCACGGACTACGGCGTCCTGAAAGCCCCCAAGGAAAGAGTGTATCTGATCCGAGGCTATCGGAACACACAGTGGCGGAAATTTGACCTCAAGCGCCTGGACTTCTCCAAAGGCTACACCTGGCCTCTTGAGGACGGCTCGCTGGGTATACAGGACGCCACCGATTCAGGCGAGAGCACTCCTTCGCAAGCCGGGGAGCTCTGACTTTCACCTTCCATGGCGCTGCAAGCGGCTGACCGCTGCTCCCTGCGTCTCGTTTTCACTGTTCGCAGCAATGCGTACGACCCCCCAGGCCCACAAAAAGACTCGCTTGCCGTCTAGCTGCATGTGAGAATATAGGTTATCATGGGCTACGAGGTATTGTTCTTTTTTGTTGCATTGGTCGATCTTCTGTCCTGTACGTGTGAATTTATGCCGGTCTTTGCCTGGGCGGAGGATCCCTCCGGTCTTGTACAGCTGTGCAAAAAAAAGAGCAACGCCAGGAGGCCTCCTCTACCCCGAGAGGAACAAAAGCCGTGCCATCCCTGCCATCGTGACATCTGTCAATCGCACTTGGCAGACTTGAGTTCACACGTGCTCCGATTCGCCGCATCTTTTTTGGGGGGGTTGGGCATTGGGGTGGGGCCCCAGAGCCGCTGAGTTTCGGCCCCCCCGGTCGGGCAAGGAGCCCCGGACCCTCGAGGCCAGCGAGAGCGAGCATTCACTCATTCACTCATTCACTCATTCACTCATTCACTCATTCACTCATTCACTCATTCACTCATTCACTCATTCACTCATTCACTCATTCACTCATTCACTCAGTCACTCATTCACTCATTCACTCATTCACTCATCCATTCATTCATTCCTTCATCCATCCATTCATTCATTCCTTCATTCCTTCATTTATGTATTCATTCATTTTTTATGTATATTTATGTATAAATAAATAAATATATATATATATATATATACATCTATACACATACACATAAATATGCATCTCATGTCATATCTTATTACAACTCCCAACTCAAAAGAGCTCTTTGTACTAAGCCTGAATCCCACTCGTCGAAGTGACACGCGCTTCTGGGAGGCAGATGGCTGCAGCCGGAAGCTCACTAATCTGAAGAGGGCACCGTGGAAGCATCACTTGGCGACTTCTGAGGCTGTCGCCAGTTACCCGGGGCCACCCCGCCAAGATCGCCAGGAGACGTAGAGTAGCACGACATAGCAAAACCGGAGCAGAGCAGTATGGCCAGTACGGGGAAAAGAAAGTACATCTGCTCTGCCAGGACGCGCTGCTGGGAACGCCTCCATCCCACAGGCAGGGAGTTTAAGGTTGGAGCTGTTTTGCCCTGCTCTGCTCATGACATGGCCTTGAGGCAGTCGCAGCCGGTCCCAGGCAGACCGCAAGCATTTTTTCTCTCGTTTCTTGAAGGAAGCTGTCCGCGTTGCTCCTCGTTTGTCCGCTGTCACAGGCTCCGGCTTTGGCATGGCGGGCAGCAGCCCAGGACCCTGCACATCAGACCCTTCACATCGGACCCTGCACGTCCCCTTATCCGACTTATCCCCTGTTTGCCTGACCATGAGCACTCTTAGGACACCCACTTTTCCAGAGGGGCCGGCGAGTGGCCCTCGCCTCGCGGGGCTTGTCGGGGCTTTTCGAGGCTTTGTCGATCCTTTCCGCTATGTTCAGGCGACTCCTGTGGGCGCCCTGGCTCGGCTGTGGGGCGACGAGCCGCGGAGGGAGGCGCTCAAGGGAGCCAAATGGGAGACGTCCGCAAAAGTTTGCCCGCGCTTGTTCGTCCCTACGTCCGCGGCAGGAGCCCGTGAGCAGCTCCGCAATGGCACCCACCGGTCCGGCTCGGGCGCAGCCGGCGCAGCCGGCGCCGCAGGCGCCGCAGGCGCCGCTTGCAAAGTGCGTGCACACACACCTGTCTCCACACAACGGTGCCACTCCGCATCCTTGTGGTAGGCACCCTGGAGGCGCTCGCTGTCTCCACAAAGGCTCCCCGGGACTTGAGACGTGCTTTGCTTGAGCTGAGCCCCCGCCAGAACCGGAGTTGCGCAGGTCGTCGGCCATTCCGCCGCCCCTCTGCATCAGGCGCCGGCATGGCTGAATCTGCTGCTCACACTCTGCACCTCGCTTCATGCAAGCAATTGCAAGCATGCAGGGCGCAAGACATTGCCCCGGCCGCGGATACTCCGCGGACTCGGTTTCAGGCACCCGTGGGCACTGATTTCGTGCTAAGGCTTTAGGAGGCTTAGGAGCTTTGTAGACATTTAATTCTCATGCTCGCCCTTTAGTTATCTCTCATACAGGACTCGCCGTCGCCGTCACGTGCGCAGAGCCATCAGCATCCCCGCAGCATCAGGCGGAAGTGGGAGCCCAGAGAAGAGTCTCGCAATGCTTCGTGGAGGCTTCTGGAGCCTCAGGAGCCATGTAGAGACCTTTTGTCCGACAGGCCCTCCATGACTCCCTCGCGGATGGGCTTCCCGGATCCTACAAGCCCATGCCCCAGAAGAGAGGATCAGTGGATCAGTTGCAGTGATGATACGTGATGAGAGAGCAAGTGCAGACACTGGCGCTTAGCGGCTTAGCGCCTAGTACTGCTAGGAGTTCAAGAGACGGAAGAATATGGAGCCCAGGCCCTCCAGCAGACTACCATGCTAGGGGCCAGGCGGGTCAGCAGCTACAGCCAGGGTTGGTGCTTGAAAGGAGGTTTGTTCAAGGCTTGATACGCTTTCATACGACTGTGATGTTCGTGTCGGGATCTTCAGGCCAAGCTTGAGCACTAAAGGCCTGCCGCACCTACACCCACGTCGCCCACGTCGCCCACGTCGCCCACGCCGCCCACGCCACCCACGCCACCCACGTAACCCACGCCACCCACGTAACCCACATAACCCACGTAGGGAAGCTGAAAGGTGACGAAAGAGCCACGCCTTTCATCCAGACTTTGGTAGTCCCGGCTGGGCTTGTGCTCTCTGGGTCACCTCTGCTCTGCCCGCCTGGTTGATGAGCCCGGTCGGTATGTTAAAGTCTAGGCGTCAAGGCCTAGCGGCGAGGGTGTCGAGCCGATGGACTCGTTGAAGGCTCCTTGATCCTTTTAAACCCTGTACAAACCTTACGCAAATTATACTTCGCAACCAGAAGCCTGGAAAGGAGAAAAAAGAACGAGCACCCCTGTTGTCGCTTGTGAGCAGTAGATCTCATTGCCGTGTGCATGGATCAGGTCCGGCAGAGATCAACTTCACCTCCCCGGATCGCCTCGCATCAGACAGTTGTCCCGTCGAAGGACGACGAGGCTCGGAGGCTTGGTAGGGGGGCACACTTTAATTCCCCTTTGATCTTCGAAGGCTTGGACTGAGAGTTCTGGTTCAATGGTTCAGGGTTGAGTGGTTGTGCTTGATTGATCTATGACATGTTCGCGAGTGTTTTGGGGGGCCCATCCCAATGCGGCTCTGAATGCCACGTTGTGGCGCTTGACATGTGCAGTGAGGACCTCATCCACCAGCATGTGCTGTACATCCTCCGCAAGAATCCCGACGTGTCCAAGCCCTTTCCTGAGCCCAGCGATCTTAGCAGTCTTAGCATCCAGATGCATCAGCGTCCTCCCATGTAGCTTCGGGTTTCTTCCGGGCCGAGGTCGCGGAAGGTGCAGCAGGTCACGCAAGGGGTGTACCTCCTGGACGGCCATGAGGCAGGCACCCCAAGGCACCCCCAAGCATTGCGCAGGGGCGCCGTTTTTCCTGCCGAGGTGTAAGCGACAAAGATGTCAAGAAACTTTCATCGGGAACTGAGGTCAACATCGAGTGGAGGCACTCCCGCGAACCTGGCAAGCCGCTTGGCCACGTGTGGAAATAATTGAAATAAAGCAGGGCCTGTAAGGCCGTGTAAAGCGTTTACGTATACATGAAAACCCTCAGTCGTGAAGACCCTCAGGTCATCCCTCTCTTAAAACACTCGAGTGTTGCTTTTTTGAGGCGGGGCTGTCCTGTGGTTGTGGACGGCCCAATGCAGCTTGGCACAATCTCGTCGAGTGCAGTTGGCAGACATGAGGCGGACATCGGAAAGCGCGTCCGATTCAGAAAATAGCGGAGTTTTGATATGGGCGGAAGAGTGCGCGCCAAGGCGCCAGCCGCTCATCGATTACTTGAGATTCAGCGAGGCCGTTCAGAATGCAGAAAAGCATGCCAAGCAAAATCGGAGACGCTTGCGTGGAGGAGAACAAGGAATACGACACGGACACGGTGGCATGCACCACGTCGTTGCACCAGGCGGGCGAATCTCCGTGTGTTGGGCTATCGTGCAGCCATGATCAGCCATGATCAGCCATGCAGGTGCCGAAAGACCAGCGCATGACCTTTGATGACAAGCACAAGCAGTGCCTCAGCTTTGAATCTCAGTGCATGAGACCGGCTGTCCCAGAATCGCCCTTTTCAGGTACAGTCGACTGGAGGCGATGAAGGTTGCCAAGGCCAGGCGAGCCTCATGTCCCAAGCACTGGTGGCCCAAGCACGTTGTGCTTGTTGCAGTCCTTGTGGATTCATGGAATGGAGGAGCAGGCCTGTATCCGGGAGCAAGCGGCGGACTGTCTGCTCGACGGCAAGCAGGCCCGCAGCTTCCTTTTGTCAGAAGTCAAGAATGCCAAAACTTCTTGCACACCAGAGGTGCCAGAGGACCTCGTGAGGCGCTACAACAAGGCCTGCGGAGAGGGTGTGGGACGTTTGCAGGGCGGAGGGGGGGGGGGAGTTTTCATCGAGATTTTACACGGTCTGCGGGTCGGGGGGGGGGGGGGGCCTGCTTCCCGTGTTGGAAAGTCTCTCTCGCTCTCGCTGCGCTCTCGCTGCGCTCCTCAGGCCCTGCGATCCAAGATACGTCGGGGCCCCCGAGAGGAAAGTCGGAGGGCTTGTCGGCTCTCGGAGTGGGCCATATTGGGTCGCAGCAACTGCACAGCAAAATGCGCACACATGCACGCAAGGCAACAGGGAAGTGGATCGGCCAGCTGCGGAGACGCTTGGCCCGCAATGCCCAGCAATGCCTGGCCTGCGAAGCCTTGGAACGACCCTGACAGCATGGGACAAGTGTATGGTGGTATACAGTGGTATACAGTGGTATACAGTGGTATACAGTGGTATACAGTGGTATACAGTGGTATGCAGCATTCTGACAATGCAGGGGATGGCACAAGTATGCGACACCATGCGAAGCCTGACACATATGGTGAAATCGTCTGTCTTTTTCATGCTGGCTGAGCCGAGGCCATCGGAGCTTCCAAGGCTGCCGGAGAGGGCACCGCCTCGTGCGGCCAAAGACTCGGAAGATCATAGAAGATCTGAAGATCTGAAGATGTAATTTGTTGGATTCAATTCGTTATTAAGCGCCCACTTCGAGCGTCTTCGAGGCGCAGCCATCACCAGGTCAGCCCGCGCCGCAGCCGGCACCGGCAGGTCAGCCCTGTCAGCCGGTTCAGCCGGTGCAGCCGGTTCAACCGGTTCAACAGGTTCAGCCGGGTCAGCCGGGTCAGCCGGGTCAGCCGCCGGCTCTGCCGCTGCCGGTGCCGCCAGTGCCACCGCTGCCTTGCTGCCATTCCCGACAGCCGCGCACTTTCGACGATTTCTTTTTGCCGTGGCACGACGCGACTGCCGGAAGCCTGTCGGCACCTTTCTTGAGGCCCTCTCCAGCCGCAATGCGCATGGCTGCTCATGCCATGGCCGGAAGCCTGCAGGCCCGTCCGATGCGGTTCGGGGGCTTCTCTGCTACATTTTGCATTCGATCGGGCGGCATTGCGCTGGTCCTTCTGCCAGGCACCAGCGCCGCGCGGCGCCGGCACCCCGCGGTCGCCACGCTCCCAGCTTCGCATCGGCTCAGGAAGAGCGAGAGAAAGAATGAGAGGAGCGTCGAGGAGGGATGTCAGGTATGTGTTGCAGGGGAAATTGATAAATTCCAGAAGGGAGGGCCAGGGGTTAGCGACATCATCGATTCGCTACATGGCCCATTCATAAGCCATACGGCCATGCATGGCGGTCACAGCTGGTGTTTTCGGGCCGAGGCCGCTCTCCGCAGAGGGGCTGGCGCCGGAGCCCCTTTTTTTATTTTGCTGAATACGCCGTAGTACGCATCACGGCTCGTGGAATTGAGAGGGGAATCAGCAGAGCGGCATTCGGAGGCCTTTTCCTGCAGTCACACTGTCCCAGCGCGGGATTTCACTGAATGGCCCCCGTCTCAGCTTGGACTCAGCACGCGTCGGTGGCAAAACTCTCGGTGAGAGAGGGTGGGTCCAGGGCGGTCTACGCACGGTTACGGGCGGGGCGGCCAGACGGGTCTTATGAAGGCTTTGTTAAACGCGTTGAATAGCCCCACTTACTTTGTATGTGTCTGGTGCCGTTCTGCGGATGTATGCGTCGCAGTTGCACCCAACAGACAAACATGCTCAGCATGACTCTGGCCACACGGCAATCCATGCAGAATCTCCATGCTATGCGATATCCTATCGTCTTGAGCGCTTTGAAGTTTGAAGCTCACTCCGAAAGCTCAAAAGCTCACAAATTGGCATGTTGACAAACGGTGAACGGGGCATTTGACCCTCAGCTTGCGTTCCTTAGGCCTGCCACCGTTCACGCCTGTCGCCACCCCAACGGCGAACTCTGCAAACCCTGCAGTGGTGCGGGTGGCCCGAAGCTGGAGTGGTCCGGGAGCCCAAAGTTAGCGGCAGAATCTAGCTCAACGATGCACGGTACACAAATGTAGACACACGGCAAGAACAGCATGCAAGAGGCTTAGAGAAACATCGAAGAATTCGCCAGGCTCCTCCATGCCAGTGAGGGACCCCAGTGTCTCCAGCATCCCTGTCCGGCCCACTGCGCAGGCCCCCAAGGGAAGTGTAGTACTGTATCATGTACATGCACGAAAATACCTAAATGCTCAAATGATAGGATAGCTTATAACGCTCATAGCTTACAGTACAAAGTACCGAAGGCTTCATCGAATGGTAGCGGGGGATCTCGCCCTTTCGCCAGGTGGTCACCGCAGCTCCCATCACAGTGGCATCCGTGGCCTTCCGCCAGCTCCCCTCCGTCGTCCTCCCGCAACGTGGCTTCCACGAGTGGGCTGCAAGCAGTTCTGCGCGATTTGAAGCCTGAGTTTGGAGAAGCGCATAAGAAGGCGGAGTTTGCCAGATACTCGAGATTCCGATCCAGAGATTCAGATACCGAATTGCTGGCCAAGGCCTGCCTCCGAAGCCAAGGCCGCCTTCGTCTGTTGCTGACCCCTAGGTACAGAGCATACTGCATGAGGAGTACAGTGAGTACAGGTTATATAGAGGAACTGTAGATAGTCGCCTCCGGTGGCGTTCTGCGGCAAAGCACCAGGAAGCGCGCAAGCCGCTGAAGCCCAGCACCTCCTTGGCCAGTGCTGCCGCAGCGGCGGCCGGGCCCTCTGCGTCATCTTTTGCATCACTGGGCTCAGGGCTCCCCCGGATGCCCTATTTGCAGAGTCCCAGAGAACCTTAGGTGCAGCAAGCGGGGCCTGCTCCTGAGAGCCCTACAAAGCGAAAGCGGCCTGGGAAAGGCAAGTCTTCAGCATGAGCGGGATGTTCGCGGATGTATTCGTGGACCGAGGACAAGCTTCCGATGAATCGGAGCCTGAGAGCAGCTGCGCCAGTGGCAAGGGGTGCGTGGAGCGCATAAGAAGCGCAGGGAAATTTCCATGAAGTGGTCATTGACTGCCCAGTCTCACCCCGAGTTTTTTTCTTGCACCAACGGGTCGCTGTAGGGCCTCTGCGTCCCCCCCAGAAAGAAAGCTGCATAGCTGCAGATTGCCTGGAACCAGGGCGGCGACCCGATCCGAAATTCGACAGAACAATTAAAAATGTGCATTCAGTGCATTTCACGACGGCTCAGCTGATCAGTGATGATCAGTGCCTCGCTAAAAGAAGCAATGCAACAAGAAGCGCGACACTGGAGCCTTAGGCTGCGATGATGCAATCCCCTGATGACCTCAAGAACCCTGACAAAGCATTTGCCGTGTACAGGCCATATTTAGGGTGACCGCAGCTAGTCTTAATTGTGAGCGCTGCGCGTCAGTTGCCTCGGTCATAGTTTCTTTAGTTTTCTGTTCTTTTTCACCACATGTTCTTGATTTGCACGCAGGTTTATGTCATGTGCTCACGGGCTCGCCAGCTTCAGTGCAGAAGTCCATGAAACTCTTGAATATGCCGATGCTCCTCAACCACATATGGCGGAAGAGTGCGGCAGAACACAGCAGGAGCACGTACTAATTAACAATCCGGTCTGCTCAGTATGCTTGCGTTTTCCTTAGGAATCGCATAGCTGTTAGAAGGTACCTCTGTGATTTTGTTTTTGGATATGTTTTTGTTGTTTGGTATCCAGTTCATCTGCTCTTTCTTGTCTTGCTTCTCATGTTTTTCGCTTTTGCTTTTGGTGGTCTTATGTTCCCATTCATGTTGTTTGGCTTCTTGCTTCTTTTGCCGCTTTCCCTGTTTTGCTTCTTATCTTTGCTGTTTGGCTTTGCCTGCCTCTTATTGCATTTCATAGCCTTTGGTGTCCTGCTCGTCGCTTTTCCTTGTTTTTGTTTTTGGTTTGCTTGCTCCCCGGACTTTGCCATTCCCTGGCTTTTCTATGTTTTTGACTTGGCTTTTTCTTGTCTCGCATCGTCTTTGAGTGTCTTCGTCTTCTTGTTGCTTTTCTCTTTTTGTTTCTTGCCCCCTTGTCATCTGCCCCAATTTTTCTTCACTGGGGGGCAGGGGGACGGAGGGGGGAGGGGAAACTGGAAAGAACGTGAGAAGACAGGACAGAACGAGGGAAATAAGGAAAGAATGACGGAAATAGGCTAAATAGACAAAGACAGACTTATGTGAAGAGTAGAAGAGATTCAGAGACAGAATGAACAAGAGAAAGAAGCGAAAGAAAGAACTCAAGAACGAAAGAATGCCAGATAAATAACAGGACAGCGCGAGACGACTGAGCATGGGGAGGCACGCGGGTTGGCTTACGGGCCTCTTTTTGTGTAAGCCGTTCGGACTTTTTGCTTAATCCGAAAACACCGATAGTGCTACCAGAGGTCCTAACGCATCTGGCATCTGCTACTGTACGAGGAAAACCATGTAAACTGACAGGAAATAGATGAAAATTGATGAGCATCTACGATATGCAAACCCCATAAGAGGGACCGCACGAAAGCAAACATCCTGAGACCCAAGATGAGTGTGTGAGTGCGACACGTTCACTCTAAGAAATTGCTTTTCGCCATCCTTAAAGAGTGCGCGGGACCTAGGCGGCAGCACGAGTTCGAGTACGGAATGTGCACGAAACCAGGCGAAAGCGCGATTTGGCCTCCTCCGCCAGGCCACAGGCATGCTTTTGCGAGGGGACACCTCTCCACGCCTCCGCGCTTCCAAGCCCAGAACAAGAAGGGGGGTTCATTGATTTCGATGTGGGAGGCACGTGCAGGTTCTGTGTGGCAGGCGCCAGAAAGGAATGACCAGCAGTTCCAAAACAACGAACACCGTATCAACACGAGTTTACGAGTTGAGGTGCACTGTAGGGAGTATCAGCAGGAACAGCCGCAAAGCACAGGCGAGCACCCTTGGCACGTAATCAACAAAAACAATTGCAAGCACTGGCTTAAGAAGCGCAGAATGGAAAGAACAGCCCGATCCCACATAAATACCAACGGATGAAAAACACCGGGATCCCTAGAAGTTCGTACAGGTTCCAATGGAAACCTCTGATGCCCACGGCTGGGCCGACACCCAGGCGGATTACAGGAGTATCGTGGAAACACCAAGCACAGTTAGACGCCGCTTCCGCGCCGAAGAGTTTTGGCTCGCAGATCTTCCCCCCACGATGAGCTGCGGGCGTGCACAGGCACAGTTAGTTAGCCAGGTAGCACTTGTAGCGACAGCAAGTCAGTGTGATTCAGTTTGGGCTCCCGAGACAGAGAGCGCTTGCAGCACATGAATGTAGTTTCTTTGCTCGGCCCGGGCCGGGGCCGCAATGCTCACACGTTGCATGCACGCGCGCGTTTGCCTTCGCGCCTCCGCGCTTTGCCTTTCGGAGGCGCCGACTAGCCCCGGTGCCGGGCGGGCCAAGTGGCCCAAAACGAAGCTTCGGATCAGAAGAGGAGGCGCAGCTGAAGGGCCCCAAACCCTCATCTTCATGGCTTCTAGTAGCGGCTTCGGCGTGGATGGTTTTGATGTCGGCCTGTTAGACTTGAGCTGTTCTACTTCGCCATACCCTTGTGCACACTCCGAAGAATTATCATTACTATTCTTAATTCTATCGGTGTTGTTGTTGTTGTTGTTGTTGTTGTTGTTGTTGTTGTTGTTGTTGTTGTTGTTGTTGTTGTTGTTGTTGTTGTTGTTGTTGTTGTTGTTGTTGTTGTTGTTGTTGTTGTTGTTGTTGTTGTTGTTGTTGTTGTGTTGTTGTTGTTGTTTTGTTGTTGTTGTTTTGTTGTTGTTGTTTTGTTGTTGTTGTTTTGTTGTTGTTGTTTTGTTGTTGTTGTTTTGTTGTTGTTGTTGTTGTTGTTGTTGTTGTTGTTGTTGTTGTTGTTATTTGTTGTTGTTGTTTTGTTGTTGTTGTTTTGTTGTTGTTGTTGTTGTTGTTGTTGTTGTTGTTGTTGTTGTTGTTGTTGTTGTTGTTGTTGTTGTTGTTGTTGTTGTTGTTGTTGTTGTTGTTGTTGTTGTTGTTGTTAGATTCTGGCCCAAGATGAGGATTTTATTTCTCGTAGCCGTAGCGAGCTTTCTTGGGTGCCTGGGTCCCAAGTCCCAGGGTCCAGCCATGGATCAGAATCGAGGGTTTCGGGAAGTAGCGCCCCCCGATGAAGCTGAGCAGCATGCGCAGCGAAGTCAGCTAACCATGAACAAAACCGGCAAGCGAAGCTACCAAAGAGCTTGTAAAGTTGCCCTGGCGAAGGGAGCAGCACTTTACAAAGGCCGACTTCTGACCGCTCAGGCTCTAGGAGCCCATGAAGACCAATTTGCAGTCTCTGAGAAGCCAGAGAAGCAATCTTTTCAGCCGATCAGACAGTATCACCACAAATTTGAAATTGAGGTTTTATCTTGGAACGCAGGTTCAATAACGAGTCGAGTTTGGAATGAGCTTCTGGCCATTTTGGCAACACCAGAATATCAGAACATCAAGCTTGTGCTGCTGCAAGAATCCCACTGGCAGCAGGACCAAACCTACAGCTCAGGTCCATGGTCAGTCCTCACCTGTGGCTCTGAGAGTAGACATAAAGCCGGCCTCGTTGTCCTTGTGCATCGATCCGTGGCCCAGCTCTCAGAGATTCGCAGCACCACCATAATTCCAGGGCACCTGCAGCATGTCATGATTCCTTGGCAGAGGTCTAGGATCCATCTACTCAATCTGTATCAGCATGTTTGGGACTCCAAACTCTCCAAGTTGGACAATAGACGACGGAGGAAGGATGTGCTGAGTCAACTTGAGACTCGCCTTCGCAGAGTGCCTTTGAGAGACTTTATGCTTGTTGCCGGTGATTTCAACTCACATGCAGTCACAGAGCGTCCTTTCATTGGGCCCAGTGTGCCTCGCCGAGCCAGATTTGCCAATGCAGATGTTAGATCGCTCCCAGAACTGTGCAGATCTTGTGGGCTGACAGCGCTCAACACATGGGCCTCCAGCCAGAAAAGCACTTATGCAAACAGCGATGGCACATATGAGTCTCAAATTGATTTTCTGCTAGTTCGACTGCAGGATGCCCGGAGGCGGTCGAAGGAGGCTTCCTCCGATAAGAATTTTCCAGTTGCAGCGTACCGGGATGGCTCCAAGCACTTCCCGGTCAGAGCCAAACTGTTTGTTCCTCCATACAGTCCTCCCCCAAGCAAACCAAAGCCCTTTGATGCCACTGCACTTGATGCCAGCTTTAGACGAAAAGATGAAGACTGGCAGGCTTATTCCAAGCACCTAACAGCTGAAGTAGTTAAGAGTGTGGCTGAGCAGAACTCTTGGCAATCGATCGACAGGACGATGGTTCGAGTCACTGCTGAGCAATTTCCACCGCCTCGCAAGGCTCAGCCAGTTGCAGGGCCCATTCAGCAGGCTTACTGGAAAAAGGTGCGCCAAATTCAGGAGCACAAGCGATCCGGTAATGGGCAGTCTCCTGAGTGCCAACAGCTAATCAGCGACATAAAGACAGAGGCCCAATCTTTCAAAAAGTTGCAGAAGCAAAGAAAACTTGAAAAGCAGGAGAGGCTCCTTCTTCAAGCCCAAGAGGACAAGAGACAGCAGTCTCACAAACTGTCCCAAGCCCTTAGAAAGCTGGCCCCATGGAAACCTGCTCAAAGGGTCAATCTCAGGGATTCAGCAGGTGAGCCCCTAGATGCGAAGGCCTCGACAAGTGCGATGCGAGAGTATTCGAGTCACATCTTCTCCAAGGGATCTCCCCTGGATCCGGTGGCAGCCAGACCACGAGAGGCTGTCAATGCCTCGCGGGTGGCCGGGCGAATAGCGGCGGTTCCGGTGGGCAAGGCGGTTCCCAGCATGTCGGCCCCGGTCTCGGCCTGGAAGAGCTTAGCGCCTGAGGCTCATGTGAAGATCGCTGATCTGATAAACACAGAGGTTTCTCAGTCAGATGTCTCACCGTACTTGAAGGACCCCAGAATTGCATGGATTCCAAAGCCGGGTAAGCCAGCTACAGCTATGAAGAACTTGAGGCCCATAGGAGTAATAAGTGTTCCAGGCAAAGTGCTTGCAGGTGCTGTCAAGACTCGCATAGCACCGGCACTGCAAGAGCGCTCACAGCTTGAGCCGCAGTTTGCATATATTCGGAGGCGAGGGGTGCGAGATGCCATTGCAAAAGCGTGTCAGCATCTGGATCTCGTGCAGGAAATGCGCCAAGAGCATCGCCGGGATATGCACAAGGCACAGCAAGGTCAGAGAAGGCTCCCATTGGCAGGGGCCTTAACAGTCTCCGTCGATCTGAGCAAAGCCTTTGACTCTGTCAACAGACAAGAGTTGCTTGAAGCCTTAGACAAGCTCAACATAGATCAAACCACTAAGGACTTTGTTGTACAACTCCACTCCTGTACATCGTACAACATGGGCCACTAATGGGCTTGAGAGTTCAGTGTTCCTACTTCTTCGGGAATTAAACAGGGATGTAAATTAGCCCCTGCATTGTGGTCTGCCTTAACCTTGCTAGTCATGGACAGGATGGAGAAGAAGTGGGGGCCTGGCAGCAGTCAGGCAAGAGATATACTCACTGTCTTCGCCGACGATTTTCTCCATCAGGAAACTTTTACAAGCTTTGCCGAACTGCAGCAGGTACTCACTCGGCTTGAAGCTTTGTTTCAATCCCTCGAGGAAGTCGGCCTTGAAGTCAATCCAGCGAAATCCAAGGCACTGCTCATGGTGCAAGGCACTCAGCAATCCCTCTTCCGCAAGCAATACACCAAACGATTAAAAAATCAGCTCCATTTGGTTCTTCCCTCGGGGCATCAGATTCCGATTCATCATCAGCTGACCTATCTAGGAGTGCAACTAAGCTATGGTGCTTACAAGGATCAAACAGTAGACTACAGGATTTCTCAAGCCCAAGGCAAATTTGAGCTCCTTAGGAGTATCTTGTGCACGACGAAAGCCCTTGACGAGGCGAAGAAACTAGAGATCTGGCGAGTGTATGTCGAGTCTTCGCTCTTGCATGGCATAGTCTCCACGGGAATCACCCACACGGGACTGCAAAAGCTCCAGAGCAAATATTCTCGGATGCTCAGATCTATCTTTCAGCAGCATCAGCATTTTAGTCGCATGGAAACCACAGAGCTGTTTGAGCACCACAAGATCCAAACTCCTCAGGAAGTTCTTCTCAGGCAAATGAGGAACTATCAGGATGCGATGGATGCTGCCAAGCCAACAGGCGACTTACAAACGATCCAAGAGTACCTGGGTCTACGCAGCCGGCTGATTAGCCAACAGCAGCTACTTCAATCCATGCAATTGGCTCTGGCCGAAGAAGATCATGCAGTGCCCTGTTCGCTATGTGATAGAAGTTTCTCTAGCAACAAGGGATTGCAGCATCATACACTAGTGAAGCATGGAGGCCAAAGAGCAAACCAGTTGGGCCCTAAATTCCAAGTCTTCGCACATAGTCTGCAGGGACTCCCGCAATGTGCAGCATGTCACAAACAGCTGCGCACAATGCATCAGCTTCGCAGACATGTTGAATCGGGAACATGTTCAAAGCTTCCAGAGCTGAGGGAGCGATCATCGTCCTGCTCAGGAGCGGAGAGCACAGCCTTGCTGCTCCAACCAAGTGTTCAGGATCAATTGAAAAGAGACCCTGACCTGCTTCTCAAAAAGGCTCATGTGACCAAGCACTTGCGGGCTTACTGCAGCCTCTGTGGGCAGTTCATTGTCGGTCACAAGGGCGTCAAACAGCACATTCAGAAAGCGCACCAGGCTTTCTGGGCAGGGGCCTCAGACTCAGTCTATGCCAACATGCGCACACATAAGAGACTGCTTCATAAAAAGGAGGAATGCAGATATTGTGGAATGATGGTTGACGCTCCGGTTCGCCACGCGGACCAGTGTGTAGTCCTGCTGCAGGTCTATGCCATGAGTGCAGCAATGAAAAAGTCAACCGACCCACACATAGAATATGGCACTGTGACGTCGGAACTTGGGATTCGTGCGCAGGAGGGTTCCTCCCAGGAGGCTTCCTCCACCAGTAGGATTCGGTCTCACCAGGCACCAGCAAGCTCCCAGCGAGACGCACCAGCAGAGGGGAGACCTTCGTCAGTGCCCGTCACAGCCTGGTCTCTGGCCTATCATAATCCGCATCAACTGTGCTATGCACACACAGTAGTGCATATCCTTGCCTCGCTTGCATCAGAGGGTATTCTTTCTGATCCATATCTGAGACAAATATTGACGGAAATTGACGCAGTAGGGGGTCGTTCTTCTAGTGTGGATGTTCGTAGGCTGCGACAGCTACGTCCTCTGCTGACGGGATGGCGATTCAGACCCAGGCAAGAAGATGCGTCCCAGTTTCTAGCACATATCATTCAGAGATCCCATGTGCTTTCAGCAGATGTTTGGGAAGCGAGGGTTCAAATCACAGCACCCGTGGAAAGAATCAGCGTAGAGGATAGAGGGGGTTTGATTCTTTTCTTGCCTGACCCACCAGATGGCCTCTCCACACTACAGCAAGCCATTTCTCAGTGGGCGCACAGGGGGAGCACCTATGGGCTACTCCCGGGAGTGAACCTGGTTTGCATTCAGATCCAAAGGTTTGAGCACTTGGAGAAAACAAATCGGCCTCAAGTTTTAGACACAACTCTGGAGCTTCCAGAGTTTATAGATAATGGCACGACAACCGCTGTGGTCAGCTTTCGACTATATGCATTCATCATTCATCTAGGAGATGATTGGAGATCTGGGCATTATAGGACAGGTTTTTTGAGAGAAGAAGTGGCGTATCTCGCAGATGATGACCGCTCACCACGGCGAACTACGCTCCTCTCGGATCAAATTTGCCAGGGATCGTATTTGGCTTTCTACGTAAGGGTCTAGCTCGCTCTACCTTCGCATGCGGAGGTTTCCTCCGGAGGCTTCCTCCGCAGCAGTGTTCTTTCTTCTTAAAGTAGACCTATCTGCCTGCTGTTGCCTAAGGCAACTCGGCATGAACGCTGCCCTGCGCGCAATAAAGCCATGATCTCGTGCTAAGATGTATAGTCTCTTGCGTGAAACTTTCACATGCGGAGGTTTCCTCCGGAGGCTTCCTCCCCGGTAGTGTTTCTCACAGTAGACCGTTCTGCCTGCTGTAGCTTAAGGCCAAGCTGACCCATTCTTGTCCCTGAACCTGAAGCATCTGAAAGAGCCCTGCGCGCACTTCAGAACATGTGAGGTCTCCTCCAGGTCGGTGGGTTCAGCTTAGGGTCACTTTTTCGGATGCAACCTTGCCTTGTCGCAGCGCTGGCCCCGAGAGCCGTGCAAGGTGTCCCAGGTCAGGTGCTTCCCTCTTCGCAAAGTACTCGTGCCTATGTGAGACCTCCTCGTTAAGTTCGGTCAGTTGGGGTCACATTTTCTCGACCAGGAATGCAATTTTGCCCTGTCGCAGCGCTGGCCCCAGGAGCCGCGCAAGGCGTCCCAGGTCAGGCTTCGCAAACTTAGCTACCCTGCCTCCAACTTGGGCATCCTTCTTGGAACGTGCAAGGCCGCCTTGGTGCGCTCTGCCTACGGCCCTCTGCCAGTTGTTTAGCGTTACCTGTGTGAGACGTCACTAGACAGGAACGCTGAGTGTCGGCCTCACCAGAGGTACGGCTCGCTAAACAGCTGGTGCGTGGGTGCTGGACGCAGTGACTCACAGTAGGGTGTCGGGGTAGCCGCGCTTATTTTTCACTCTTTTGCAGTGCTGAGTACTTGATATCGGAGGCTGCCTCCGTGCCAACTTCAATTTCTTCATTGATTCATTGCATCAGATTAGGAGGTTTCCTCCTGAATATCCTTAAGAACTCTGCCAAAGCAGATTCAGTATAGCAGGTAGTGAGACCTGGCAATCTGGAGGAAGCGATCCTCTCGAAGTCCAAAAGGCCGGACTGTGAAATAAAAAAGGCGGGTGAGACCTTCTGTATCACACTTGCCCGCCTTAATCACACCAAACTCAGCTAGCGCACAGCTATAGCCTGCAACACAACATCGGGGCCAGCCGGCACTGCAGCAGTCGCGGGTGCAGGTGAGCCAGTAGGAGGCGGTCGTAGGGT